GTTGGCAGAATTTGGATTTCACTCATTGAATTTTCTTGGATTAACATTGTTTAAATATAATTAAACAAAAATTAGAAGTATTGAATAAACATAATTTTTCGTATTTAAATGGAATATTTCTTGTGATAATAATAAGATTATTTATATAGCGCTGACTTTTACCACACAAAGGCAATGCTCAAAGCGCTGATGTGAAAAATGTTAAAATATGTTTTTCACCATATTATACTGGGTACATAAAATATCCTCTATATATTCCCTAAGAGATACAACTACAATGAAACTGCATCGCAATGATTTATAGACCATTGTGACATCATCAGTTAACATGACATCACAATGAAACTCTCTTTACCACTGAAATTTCCTATTCTTTTTACACTCAAGACATAGGTTATAACTGTTTACAAAGTTAAAGGTTGCCACAATGACTTATGGTAATATGAATAAAATCTCAGTCTTATGTCTTTTGATTTCAACAGTATCATCACTCATCAACAACACGTTCCAAACGGCATTGTATATTCATCTCATCAACAACAGTTTACAACATCACTTGTGTGACAAGTCTGCATAAACTGTTAAAAATATTTTAAAAGTTCCTATTTCATGTAAATATGGTTATAACCACTGTAATTGCTTGGATGAAATATACCTATGAAAATGTTACCTATATAAATATCCCAAGTTTTTATCAATTTGCCTACCAAGGGCACTTAGTTGGGAATCCCAGATATATCCTGGAAAGTATCATCATTTTTATACCATACTTGTGATAAAACTATCAGAAAAATTAATTTCAGTGACTATGATGTCACACAAACCAAATTTAAAAGTAATGTCTTAGAAATAGATTTATTGACATTGTATGATAAATTTGCAATAACAAATAATCAGTATTAACTGATCATTAAATGAGCAATAAAAACATCACTCACAAGGAGAGACCTTTGAACATATATGGGTTAGAATTCATCCTCAGCAAACTATGCTTTTCGTAAAAGATCAAAGAAAAGAACAGGTGGTCAGTCTAGCAGACTTGGTTGATTGTGTCCAAAATGTATTTAGATAGATGTTCATGTAATGGATTGTCTGGCCTAAACTATATTATTTTACAGACCGCCATCATATAGCTGGCGCAGTAGGATAGCCAATCATGAAAAGCAGTCATCATGCCTAAGGGTTAAATTTTTCTTTGTGTGAACCCCATTTCTGGCGTTCCCTGCTGTGATATTGCTGGATATTGCTAAAACTGGTATAAAACCGACTCACTCACTCACCCACTCATATAGTTGAAATATACATATCGTGGTGGGACAAACGACAAATGAACAACGCATGGAGAGTGTGTGAACTATTGACGCATGTAATATCGTTGTTGACCAGGAAGGGCGGAGTAGGGTATTTATCTAACTGTAGAGACTGGCTGGTTTTTGTCTTGACTACTCATTGTTATGTACGCAACTTGATGAGATCTGGTAAGTCAGTGAACTTTCCTGATTGACATCTGACACTGAGTGATGATGTCTAATTAAGGAACACACAGGGAGTGAAAGGTTACTTATTTAATCATGTATTACCTGCTTGAGAATGTGTGGAAGTGAAGAAATGAAATGTACCTGCCTTTAAATTTATTGTTGCTTTTCAAAATGATTGAGAGTGTCACACGCAGTGTTTGCAGTACTTTCCTACACCCAAAATGTTCCAGATTTATAGTATTAAAGTTACCCTCTGTGAATAAATGTATAATTAATAACAACTTCACAGACTGCTTAATTTGCCACAAACAACTTAACACGAAAATACCCCCCAAAACAATGGAACAAAATCAGTAACATCAATCAGAACACTAAAGCAACAGAAGCCAAGCCAGTTTATTATTAGTCAGGAAGTAATAGGCTTGGTCTAATATGTTTTGATTGGCTAGTTAAGCAATCAAATGCCGCAGATTCATTTGAAAATATATTTTTTCACCATTAAACATCAATAACCATAAAAGATCCAAACACATATTTATTCTGTTTGTAATAATATTACCATGTTGTCTCCATATCTAAATGGTGTGAAGTACAACTATGTATCACACATGTTATTATGTGGAGAATCACAACTCAGATCTTTCATAGGAAAAGCTACCATCATATTCACTGGGTTAAATATTTACCTTTTCAGGCTGATAAGTATTACATTTCTTATCTCACAAGTTCTATCTTAGACTAACACTTTCTAGTAAACTAGCTTCTCTTGGCAAAAGATGAAATGACAAAACTCGCATTAAATTTTCATAAATTAAGCCTTGAACATGTATATATAAGAGACTGAACACAGGAACATATTCATTATGAAAATACCACCAAAGTTCTGTGCATTCAAGCTCTTTGAAGATTTTTAATCTTGCACTTATAAATCTGACACAACACCTGTACAATACAAGCGTATATTACACTCCAACAGGGGCAGTATTCATTTCGAGTGCAGTTTCGATGATTAACTGACACGCACAAGCCAGTCAATCAGTTATCAAGAAGGTAAACACATGTTCAAGCTTTGGTCAATTACTTGCGACATATTTCTACGTCACTGCTGCCAATACTGAACTCAAATACACCAAGCGAGCACATTTATTTGAAGCCGACGTCATGATCTACGCAGAACATAGTTTACCGGAACTGATATGACAAAGGAGATAGTTTGAGCAAACAACAAAGTGTTACAATGTAATGCTGGTCGACATGTAAATCACAGTGGGGGACGAAATGTCATGAGGGTATACTCAACAATAGATTAACAGCTGATTGACACTTACACTTTGACTAGTCTGTAAACAGGATTGCATCCAGCTTTCCTTGTAAAACATGTATTAATCTGAGAATGTCTTGATGACCAGAATTATAGGAATCAATTTTGTGTATGGAAAGATACAAATATCCCTATGAAATAGTGGAATAGTATACAATTCTACTATTTGATAGGGATATTTGTATGTTTCCATGGCTTTTCAGATAGTTAGACTATTCCATATAAATATCCCTATCAAATAGTGATATAATATACTATTCTACTATTTGATAGGGATATTTGTATGTTTCCATGGCTTTTCAGATAGTTAGACTATTCCATATAAATATCCCTATCAAATAGTGATATAATATACTATTCCACTATTCATAGGGATATTTGTATCTTTCCATACACAAAAATGATTCTCATAATACGTCAAGCATATATATCAACATAATGACAAAAGATATGTAGTATAGATTTATTGAATAGTCTAACTATCTGAAAAGCAGAAAAGTCTAAAGATTACCATGATCAAATTAAGAACACAATAAATTAATACTAGTATTTCATAAATTTGGTTTTTCAAATGTGAGGTGGAGTGAGTGAGTTTAGTTTTACGTCGCACTCAGCAATATTCCAGCTATATGGTGGCAGTCTGTAAATAATCGAGTCTGGACCAGACAATCCAGTGATCAACAGCATGAGCATCGATCTACGCAACTGGGATACGATGACATGTGTCAACCAAGTCAGGGAGCCTGACCACCCGATCCCGTTAGTCGCCTCTTACGACAAGCATGGGTTACTGAAGATCAATATTCTAACCCGGACCTTCACGGGTAAAATGTGAGGTGGAGGAAACGTATATGTACATATATTTATTTTCCAGTCAAATGTATCTTTGAAAGCAACTAAAGACTACAAAAGTTACATCAGTTATGGCAGCATCCCCTTCACATGTTCTTACCTTGACCCAAACCATTATGTAGAAAGTAATCCTATTCAAATGACCAAGTTTGGTGGGTAAAACATTAAAACTTCAAAAGAAAGAGTGACTTTACACAGTCACCAAACTTGCAACATGATCAACTTGCTGCCAAATAAAACAACATGCTACACAATTGAAGATGTTAAAGGTATTTCAGAAATGGGGTTGTATTGTGCATGCGAAAATGTCACATAAAAAAGTAAAAGTGGCAGCAAATTATAATACAGTCCAAAGTCGATAAATGACAAAATAAAATATAATTTTCCAAAATAAATGATAATTTTAGCTATTTCAGATCTAATCCATCAAGCAGTCAAGTCTCTAAGTCATTTAACTGTTCAGCCATGTTTTTTCACAACACACTTCTGTTTAAGGAAGTAGGCTTATTTATGCATGTGCAAACATCACTGTTATTTTCGTTTAGACAAAAAACCCATTTTCTACTTAAGAGTATCACCTTCACATAAGTGTAATCCTAAATGGTTTAAGGAATTACATTCTTTAGAAGCATGAGTTAACCAGCAGACCTCCAAGACAGAATGCTCTCTTAACTTTTAAAAGCTTAATCGCAGCAAACAGCAAATAGTAGATAATAGTTTCCTTTCAACTTTCATTTTTTTTTTTTTTTATAAAAAGTTCTGATAGAAATCTGCCAGGAGAGGGTCATTGACGAATGAAACGTCATGACTTCAACATAAAAACTTTCTTCATGGGAGATATAGTTATACTGTTTATTATACAGTAAGTAGGTACAAAAGATTAATTGTGACATTTTAAAAACGTTTTCACATGATGGCAAACATCGTAGCTATTACCATTTTCTAATTTTTAGATTCTAATCAATTATGAAAATATACCTTTCTACAATACATTTACCAGTTTGACAACATTCACCATATGATAGGATTAAAATATTTTTAAAATAAGGTCAGAGATGTTTACCAGGGGAAAGGGCACTATTACACTGATACTCATAACCATGGCCAAGGTGAAAGTTGAACCCATGATATTTGGATCCTGGCATGCCTAAGGGACACAACTCTGGAAAGCAAAGCAGTTTAGGTAGTCACCTGAAAATCAACCCATCACAACTCACAGTGATAAGCATGATGCGTCTGTGATCATGGGGATACAAGGGTACTATACAGTTCAGGTCCCCTACATGTGAAGCAGATATCTCAACAGAAACATACTGACTTTCAAGAATAAGTTCAAAAATCCTACATACCTTTTCCTGCAGTATTTTGGTTTCTGTGTAGTAGTCTATGGGTTTGGCAGCATAAGGAAGATCTTCTATGCCATTCTGTATATCTTTTCCCTCATACACCACACTAGCACTGCTTGTCAACACCAGGCGCTTGGGGGTAAATATATCAACATATATCACACTGGCACTGCTTGTCAACACCAGGTGCTGGGCAGAAATATATCAACATATATCACACTGGCACTGCTTGTCAACACCAGGTGCTGGGCAGAAATATATCAACATATATCACACTGGCACTGCTTGTCAACACCAGGTGCTGGGCAGAAATATATCAACATATATCACACTGGCACTGCTTGTCAACACCAGGTGCTGGGCAGAAATATATCAACATATATCACACTGGCACTGCTTGTCAACACCAGGTGCTGGGCAGAAATATATCAACATATATCACACAAGCACTGCTTGTCAACACCAGGTGCTGGTCAGAAATATATCAACATATATCACACTGGCACTGCTTGTCAACACCAGGTGCTGGGCAGAAATATATCAACATATATCACACTGGCACTGCTTGTCAACACCAGGTGCTGGGCAGAAATATATCAACATATATCACACAAGCACTGCATGTCAACACCAGGTGCTGGGGGATATATATCAACATATATCACACTGGCACTATTAGTCAACACCAGGTGCTGAGCAGAAATATATCAAGATATATAACATTAACATATATCACACTGGCACTATTTGTCAACACCAGGTGCTGGGCAGAAACATATCAGCATATATCAGACTGGAACTGCTTGTCAACACCAGGTGCTTGGCAAAAATATATTAACATATATCACACAAGTACTGCTTGTCAACACCAGGTGCTGGGCAGAAATATATCAACACATATCACACAAGCACTGCTTGTCAACACCAGGTGCTGGGCAGAAATATATCAACATATATCACACTGGCACTGCTTGTCAACACCAGGTGCTGGGCAGATATATATCAACATATATCACACTGGCACTGCTTGTCAACACCAGGTGCTGGATAGAAATATATCAACATATATCACACAAGCACTGCTTGTCAACACCAAGTGCTGGGGAGAAATATATCAACATATATCCCAGAAGTACTGCTTGTCAACACCAGGTGCTGGGCAGAAATATATCAACATGTTATATCACAATGGCACTGCTTGTCTACACCAGGTGCTGGGGGACATATCAACACATACAAGACTGGCAACTGCTTGTTAACACCAGGTGCTTGGCAGATATATATCAACATATATCACACAAGCACTGCTTGTCAACACCAGGTGCTGGGGGATATATATCAACATATATCACACTGGCACTGCTTGTCAACACCAGGTGCTGGGCAGATATATATCAACATATATCACACTGGCACTGCTTGTTAATACCAGGTGCTGGGCAGAAATATATCAACATATATCACACAAGCACTGCTTGTCAACACCAGGTGCTGGGGGATATATATCAACATATATCACACTGGCACTATTAGTCAACACCAGGTGCTGAGCAGATAAATATCAAACAGTGTATGGGTAATGTTGCTTTGTAACCTGGTCATTAGAAGCCTCACTGTGAGGAAGTTGATATGAATGCTAGATGTGATTCCACAAAAAACAGAACATTGCAAATTTGTGGAATACAGTTATGCTACCAGTTTACAGACTCTTCCACCATAATCTGGGCAAACAGTACTGGCAGAATTATGTCCCTTTCTAACACTGTAAGCTAGGATTAACCTGTAAGGATGGAGCGGCATAGATCAATAACTAGATGAGATTTCTTGGATATCATTAGGGTATGCACAAGATAAAAGGACAAAAACAAAGTCAACTATCAGTCCCAGGGCATTTTCTCAGATCAGTGCCCCTTGAACAGCTGAACAATTCATCACACATTGTCACTATATACTGAGAATCAGCATGTATTTTACGATATAAATTAAGGGATTAATACTTACGTCCACAGTCCATATAGTTCTGGTAATATTGTACTAGTTCACACTTATAATGGACAGTTTCACAATTAGTCATTGGCTATTCAAAGAAGTAAGACCACATCTGTCATTACAAAAGGTCCTGGAGGGTATACCTTTTTCCCTTATTTGTGAGTGCGACGTTTCTATACAGATTCTTGAACCGTTGTCAAGCAGGAAATGCATTTCCTGCTTGACAACAGTACAAGAATCTGTATCGAAATGCTGAGACTGCAGTCAGTTTATAGAGAATAAACTCCTGCTTGACAAACTCCTGCATTTCCTGCTTGACAATGGTACAAGAATCTGTATCGAAATGCTGAGACTGCAGTCAGTTTATAGAGAATAAACTCCTGCTTGACAAACTCCTGCATTTCCTGCTTGACAACGGTACAAGAATCTGTATCGAAATGCTGAGACTGCAGTCAGTTTATAGAGAACAAACTCCTGCTTGACAAACTCCTTCATTTCCTGCTTGACAATGGTACAAGAATCTGTATCGAAATGCTGAGACTGCAGTCAGTTTATAGAGAACAAACTCCTGCTTGACAAACTCCTGCATTTCCTGCTTGACAACGGTACAAGAATCTGTATCAAAATGCTGAGACTGCAGTCAGTATATAGAACAAACTCCTGCTTGACAACGGTACAAGAATCTGTATTGAAACGCTCAGAGACTGCAGTCAGTATATAGAACAAACTCCTGCATTTCCTGCTTGACAATGGTACAAGAATTTGTATCGAAACGTCGCACTCACGAATAAAAGGAGTTGTTATCCATAAAGTTTGTTCTATATTGTACTTCCCAACTTTTAAAATGCCACTCAAAGAAGTTGAAAGTGATCTTAGTACTCAGATGATTGTAACTCACATCGTTTAACATGAACTGACGGCAGTCTCAGTGCAGTAACATAACCTTTTGCAATGGGGCTCACATGTTTATATATGGCATAATATTCCTGAGAGTGAACAGTTGAATTCTTATAAAGAAAATTATTTTAAAATCCAGAAAATTTGGATTTACCTTTACACCTTCTTTCTTGCATGTTGCTATGACAACTTTGGTTCCCTGAAAGTTGACTTTGTAGAAAAGGGCTCTGTTGTCGCTAGAGGGCGCTGGGGAGGCACAGTGGAACACACAGCTGACTCCCTTCAAAGCTGGTTGTAAATCCTAATATACAATAATCAAACATGTCACATAAACAAAACACCAATCAATAGGGTTGGCTAAAAAGATCTATATTAATCAGAAATATTGTCTATGGAAATCATTACAAATGATTATCAATATGAAAACTGCGTAATCGATAATATTGTAAATGAACTATTGTATTTCAGCTTGATGTATTCAAGGGGACAGTCTTGAATGGTTATGTGAGTGTCTCACAATAAATTAGCTCTAGGATAATAAGAAAGCAGTTAAGCTGAACATTCATATATTTATTCAGGCAAGTGACAAGAAAAACGAATGGGGGACTTTCATAAAAAAGGCAAAGAACATGTACAGGTCATTTAATACGTAATGATGTGTGACTTACTTGTTCATTACATAGATCTCCTGTGAAGAACTTGATTCTGTCATCATCAAAGGTTTTCCTTACATCAAATACACGACAAGTATAGCCACGCTTGAGGAGCTCATCACAGAGGTGGCGGCCAAGAAAACCACAACCTCCTATTACCAAACATGTCTTGTTCTGAAACAAGTAAAAATATTTCTGCCTGCAGTTACCACTTACAAATGTTTTATTAAAAGTTACAATTGCTATTATTCATTATACCAAGACAGTATTAAAAGTTAATAATTAATTCAAGTAATAAAATGCTATTTCATGACAAATTTTCAAGTACTACATGTTTTCTTTATGTTTTACCCCTTGCAGCTATGAAAGGGAACACCTTGAGAAACGTAAGACCTGATTTTAAATACTGGTACCAAAAAGCCGAAACTCATACCAGACAGAGACTACTGTTCACTCAACATTGCTCCTTGATGGATACATTTACATTCTCTCGATTAACGGAAAATTTATTACCAATTTTAAACAGATATTATTCATTTTTTGTTACAGTGCTTACAATAATAATCACCTCAATGGGGATTCCAGATGAGAACTGAATCAATCCCTGGTTTGCATAGCCCTGACCAGGGTGCCATTGTACAAAGCGATTTTAGCGTAAAGGTGATCGTAACTCTCATACCTTAACACAGACTTACGACTGGCGTAGTGCAAAGGTTACTTTGTACAACAGCACCCTATAGTCCGTCAACCTAACTTTTGGAACACGGTTTTTTGCAAGTTACGTTTAAACAACAAAAGGTATCCAACTTTTATTTGCTCAGTTAATAATGATATCTGACGACCTAATTGGGTGTTGAATTGCTAAAATTTATATCACCTATTAAAGATTTTACTTAAGAAACTATCATATAAAGTTTCTGACAACAACAACATTTTCAAAAGATAGTACTGGCAAGTACTGGAACAGCTATCAACAATGTCGCAATGTGTGTCAACATGTTATGTACATGGATGCACGAGCATTTCATGGAGAGTGTTTGTGACATCACAGCCAGTGTTCGGGTGTCGGCAAGATACTCTCTAAAGATGCACGGGATATAGTTAAAAGAGTACATGCGTTTTCCAAGAAAGAAGCCAAGAGACAAAACCCCTTTATTTCTCTGAATTGCTTCATGAAACGTACACTTCATGCTACCAAGGTTTCAAGAACAACACTTCATCGCATTATATCCCTTGACAATGATGCAGAGTCTGACACTGAATCTTGATAGACGATTAGTGAGGGATGTAATTCGACGTTTACACAAGTCGAATGAGGCTATATCTTCCAGAAAGTTGAAGAAGATACTTCAAGATGACCATGATATCCATGTCTCCAAGTACACGATATGCAAATTATTGTTTAAATATGGATACCACTTCAAGAGACTGAGCAACCAAAAGTTGACATTCTGTGAAAGGGGCGATATCATAGCAATGAGAGCTCGGTATCTGAGGAAGATACGTCAGATGAGAGAAGAAGGACATGTAATCGTGTGGCTTGATGAAAACGTGGGTAAATGCTAACCATACATCTTCTTACCAATGACAGCACCCAGATGCAGAGAGCAACATAAGAATACCTCTTGGAAAATGAGAGAGACTCATAATCCTTCACACTGGCTCTTGCTTGGCGTTTCTTCCTGGATGTGATGTTGTTTTCAGGGCCAAATCCAATGATGGAAGGGATTACCACAGTGAAATGAACTCTGCAGTGTTCACTGAATATGTGACTGAACAACTGATTCCAGCACTGGTTGACCATTCTGTGATCGTAATGGACAATGCACCTTATCACAGCTGCATTGACCCCCAGGATAAGTGTCCAACCTCAGCTTCCAGAAAGGGAGATATGATTGCTTGGCTTGACAAACATGGCATCGAACATCCATCAAAATCAACAAAAGTAGAGTTGTACAAGATTATCCTTACCAAAAAGCAACCACCTATTTATCAAATGAACAATCTGCATATACAACATAGTCATGAAGTTGTACGTCTCCCACCCTATCACTGTGACTTAAATCCGATAGAACTCGTATGGGGCCACCTTAAAAAACAAGTTGCACAGAAGAACAAATTGTTTAAGTTAGCCGAAGTAACACGTATTGTGCTTGACGAAATTTGTAACATCCCAGCAGATTTGTTGAAAAATTGTGAAGATCACGTTTTGCAAATAGAGGAACAATATTGGCAAAATGATGGTTTGCAAACAGAAACGGTCACACTATTGATCATAGATTTTGACTCAGAATCTGACTCTGACATTGAAGTCGGGACTTCTGGCTCATCAGTATCTGAACATTGATATGTTCTCATAATATGGCAAGTCTTCACCTTCTCACCTTTGTAACATTATGATGTTTGATTATTATATTAATTACTTGCCTTTACCTTTCAATACAAATGAATAATTATAAAAATCTGTCTAAAATGAAAAATAGTTTGGTGATATGGTCCCTTCTCAACATGTCCATACACAATCACAATGTAACCCCATCTGCATGTGCCACACACATTGCAACATTGTTGATAGCTATTCCAGTACTTGCCACTACTCCCTTGTGAAAATGTTGTTGTTGTCAGAAACTTTATATGATGGTTTCTTTACTAGTTGATATAAATTTTAGCAATTCAACACCCAAATAGGTCGTCAGATATCATTATTAACTGAGCGAATAAAAGTTGGATACCTTTTGTTGTTTAAACGTAACATGCAAAAAACTGTGTCCAAAAGTTAGGTCGACGGACTATAGGTATTCACAGGCTTCCCTCACACAGTTTCTATATAGCTGAATGTGATATTATGACTTCTTGTGGCTATGAGATATACTCATAAAATTTCCATAATGAACAGACAAAATATATTGGTCTATGGGTGAGTTACAATGTATTATTTATTCACTCAACCCCTAAAACAAGCAGCTGGTATGATAGGACAAAGGCATTCTATGTAACAAAGAAATTGAGATTTTATGAGTGATTCTAGCAGAGAAGCACAACTGGTGGAATCAAACACAGAGAGGTTGGTACCAAAGTCCATTGACAAACTTTCAGTTTAGGGCAAGTCTCAAGGTAGGGTTAGTGTATTTCGCAATCAGTGCTACAGATGAGGAGATGCTTTCACTCTAAGTTGTGATCAATAGGAATCAGACCTCAGTAAAATTTAAAGGGGCATATGGGAATTTCTTTCATATAACATTACTGAACGATAATGGAGTACCAATGGATGTTAAATGTTTGTACATACCATAAACTGTTGTAATTGTTCTCTTAATGTTTAACTTGTGAAAATTAAACGAAAAGACTGCTTTTTCAGGATTGCTCAGGAAAGATCTAAACTAACTTATCATTTATGCAACTTGTCCCATAGAGTGAGTGAGTGAGTTTGGTTTTACACCACCTTTAGCAATATTCCAGCAATAACACGGCGGGGGACACCAGAAAAGGGCTTCACACATTGTACCCATGTGGGGCATCGAACCCGTGACGAGCTAACGCTTTAACCACTAAGCTACCCCACCGCCCCTGTGTCCCGTAGAAAAAGCCCCAAATATTTTAATATTTTGCGAAACAATGTTGAATAAACCTTGTTCATATGTTTCACGAAGCTGATTTCAGTTCAAACTGTCAAAGTGGTTCGACGTGATGTGTGTCGTCTGAGACAATTTCACCAATCATAGCATCCGAGAGGAACATGTGATAGAAAGGTTCGTCTGCTACAAACGTACGAGCCAATTTGAATAGTGCAAACTATTTTAACGATGGTTAGAGAGAAGTAGCAACACCACCAATTACTAAACTGAGATCCATAATGGTTGTCATATTGACATCTAATAATTAACGGCCTAACAACTGTACTAATGTTCATATGATTTCTTGAAAACTTCCATACCAGTGAAGCAGCCGCCATACTGTTTGTTGATAAGAATTTTCGCCAATGAGCTGTGTGGTTACTTTTGGTGCAGGCCTAATCTCGTGTATAAATAGTACTACCCTTAAAACTAATAACAGATCAAAATGGGCATCTGCGGTCTTCAGGCAACGCGTGGGCGTTTCGGTTGTTATTTTCTGATTTTTCATGGGTATTTATAAACTACTTAAAAAATACAAATCCGAACATATTACTTAGTTCTAATGGTAAATAGTAATGGTTATATAGTGACTGAAATCTTATAATTGTTGACATCAACAAAAAGTTCAGTATTGTCTAAAATATTATATATTTGTTTTTAGGTGTGGAATATTTTGGAAAGTGAGTGAGTGGGCCAAATGAACCTGTAGTATAATTAACTCAGAAATCGAGTAAAAGTAAAAAATATACAACACTAATCAATACCTACTGGGGTATTGACATTCGATTATTTGAAATAAGAATATGGTGTCTTCAGTACAATAGGAAAGTCTTCTTTCACACGATTAATTATAAGCTCAAGACTATGACAGGTATCTCTCAATTGATATAGGGATATTAATGACTACGTTGGAATATATGTAGTATATTTCTTACTGGAAATGCAACAAACAAAAATAAAGAACTGAATCAGGAATATAATTATCTTTTTTAAAATATTTCTGTGTTTTTATAAATAATATACTATCTAAATGTGAACATGTTAACGGAAAATGATGATGTTGAATTGGTGGAAGAACACATTAAAAGATATCCACCTGAAGCTTCGAGATGTCATTCGGATATTGTTAGTAGTTGTTTACTGAAGGTTATTCGTCTTTGAAAGAAATGGGCCAATCAAATAGCGATCAAAACCTTACTTCGGTCCTTATATCCGGGATACCAAGGCGGTCTGTTCGTCTCGAAGATCAACAAAACAGAAGTCATGGTAAGCTAACATATTTGTTCGCATTCCTAATTCGAGTCTTGAAATTGTTAAATTGCCTTTTGCAGTTGTTTTGATAGAATTATGTGTGTTCCTCCTCTTGAAACTAGCAACACGACAGTTATCGACTGCCGTAATTTGGCGAATTTATTCGGCATAAATTCCGAATTTGTTTGCAACGAATTGTCAGACCGAGAAAGCTTCGACCCGATCAATACTGTCCAATACCTGCATATATGTTAATGTTCTTCGACAGGATTCACCATCTAGCTGTGCTACGTCTGTAGCTTTAATATGCAATGTTAATGTTCATTCAAATCTGAATTTATAGTTTGTTAATTAACTTATAGAATAGATCTAATTCATGTCTCAGCTTGTCCAACTGGACTGGTTTGTTTGACTCCGAGTTTGAGTCCCAAATAACACACTTTTCAAAACGATACTCCTTTACAATGTCACATTTCTAATGTTTAAGTTAGAACATCTTATGTTCAAGGTTATATCATCCGTCATGTCCATAGCACTAACATTGTGCTTCAAAGATTAATTTGTATTTGCACCAACACTATTTTGTTAATTAAATTTAAGAAGCTTCACCACTATTCACAGCATATGCCATATTTTTATTTAGAAGCAGTAGTGCCTGTCTTGATGTACCTCATTTTATAAACACCCACAAAGAGTTCTTCTAAAGGTGTCTTAAACATGACACTGATATTCATGTCAGGTATGCACCACATACCAATCCAATTCATTTGTGGAACATTAAGTTCATTAACATGAGCAATCCTCATAGAATCACTTGATGGTGAAAGTAAATGTAAATTCAAATAATGTGGTCCATACGAGCAGTTAATATGTTTAAGCAGAGCTGTTATGTGGCAATGCATCATGTCAATGCAGGAATTTCCCTTGGCATAATTATGGCTAATGTAGTGACTTGTATGTAAGTGTACTTAGTACATGTAACATGGGAAGAGGCTTTTGATGTGTATATGATTAAGATTAGTTTTAGATTATTGCATTGAACAGTGTGGAATGGAATGTTGCAAATATATTTATATGAGAAATGTTTTGGAATCCTATGTTAATCCCTGCCTGAAGACTGTAGATATACATGCTTGAACTTGTGCATTCCAGTTTGTTCCAGTGTTTAGTGACTTCTTGGTTTATTGCTATAAGTACAAAATATAAAGTCAAGTGGGGTTATAACAGAAGTTGTCATTCTGTTCTGTAGGCAACATACAAGAAGACATCTTTGGCTGGTGGTGGCAGGAAGAAGGCTGGGCCCAAGCCGGAACTGACTGAGGAACAGAAGCAGGAGATCAGAGAGGCGTTTGACCTGTTTGATGCTGATGGCTCCGGCACAATAGATGCCAAAGAGCTTAAGGTAGAACATGATTATGATTATTATTAGTGCTGTCTTCGATGTTTCTCACTAAAATACAGGTGAAGTGTCTGCCATGCAGATGTTTGTTGTTTGAGAATTTATGAAAGTTTGGATGAGATTGTAACACAGGCTTCATAGTTAAGAAGACATGCTTCCTCTTTCTGCATATCCACGTATCTTGAACATGTCAAATGTAGGATGTGTTGGTAATCTTTTGTACTGTGTCGTTTGCTAAAATGCTTAATCAATAGTAGGGCCAACCTCCCGAGATAAGAGTGGACACAAGCCCATATTAAAGCCTAGTGTTCATCCTTGCCATTTTAATCCTAAATCTTGTCTCGTTTTCTGTTTAGTGACAAATCCAGACTTGAGTAGCCTGTTAAGATATTACCTTCAAGTTCTTATTAAAGCATGTTGAGCAATTTTAGATGATATGCTTTGTTGTCCCTTTCCAGTTTAAAGGTTGGTGTTTAGCTTTTTGAGTTGGAGATATTTAGACATGTAATTAGGTTAATTGCTATTTAATGCGAATGACTGGAGTTTACAGTTACCATGGTTATTGTTGCAGACAGATCACATATAGTTTAAGTATAAAAGCACTGTCATTAAATGACCTGCAAGGAGTGGTCTGCAGACTTGCTGTACCTAATTTTCTCTGATGTTAAAATGTTGTAGTCTCCTTTGCTCATTTTATTTACTGGTTAATCGCTCTTAATTATCAATTATGATCCCAGATCAGAGAATATTTCCACTATGAAAGGATGTTATTGAGTGTTCAAAGGTAAGGGTCTCTTGTGTCTTTAAGGTCTTCATCTTATACAAGATAATATCCGCTCTGAATAGCATTTCCACTCAGAAGGATGTGTTATGCAGTGTTTGAAGTTAAGTGGGATCATGGGGTTGTTAAGCTCTATAGCGGTATATGAATCCAAAGACTCTGGGTCTTTAACCTTAAACATGTTAAACACTACAACATGATGACAACAGCCTCTTTACTTCGAGGTTTCATCACATGTTCAGGTATGGCAGTTTCAGATTTATTCATGTTTCGTTGCAGGTTGCAATGAGAGCCTTAGGTTTTGAGCCCAAAAAGGAAGAAATAAAGAAAATGATTGCTGATATTGACAAAGAAGGAACAGGTAAGTTATTTTGAAGGTGATGGAAAATGTATGGGAGTGACAGCATTTTATTTGTGTCTTGACCATCTCAATGTCATCACATGATGATGGTTAATCTTATTTTGTAAATGAACCACAAAGTAAATATGTAATGGTATTCTGTAGATAAGGATATGGGCTGTTCATGATGGTTTCAGCCCCGAACCTGCTAAATTGATAATTAGGAAATTGCAAAAGTTTAGCGTTTCAGCTTGTGGACCAAGTTGAAATTTGATGAGATAGAATGCTTTTAACTTTCCAAAGTTTTGTGGGAACTTGGTGGGTTTTAGCTCTCCATGTCCTTGTGAAATGTATCAAATGTCTTGAATATTTGGTCTAATGTTTAGGGATGGTGGGGTAGCCTATTGGTTAAAGCGTCGGAGACCCGGGTTCAATTCCCCACATGGGCACAATGTGTTCCCTCAATTATATTGCTATACTCACTCACTAGTGGATAAACTAAACTCACTCACTCACTAATGGGTGTGTATATAGGATTATTTAGTCTTAACCCATACTAAGAAACATTGCATGTTCTTCCAGGTACGATTGACTTCAATGACTTCCTGACGCTAATGACGCAGAAGATGAGTGAGAAGGATGCAAAGGAGGAGATTCTCAAAGCCTTCCGTCTATTTGATGATGATGAGACAGGAAAAATATCTTTCAAAAACCTCAAACGTGTTGCCAAAGAATTAGGAGAAAATCTCACAGATGAAGAACTGCAGGTTGGTTCCTGTGATTAGTGAGACAATCTTCTTGTAGAGAAATTCCAATGTTTTATCTCGAGTGGGATGGTCTTGATTATCTGGGTATAGTTTGTAAGATAGGTGCAATATGGGTGTTTGGCCTCTGACTGCACAAAGTGACAGGTTAGTTAATAATGAATACTGTGGGCTGCGGATTGTAATATTTGTGTTTCTAGTATATATTGATAGTATTTTACCTCACTGAAATCAAGTCTTTTAATCTGATAGAATACCTCTTTATGTTAAGACCTTCATAGCCACATCAGATAAAGCTTCAGTGACTTTGAGTCTCTAAGTGAAAGTGAGGGAGGTGCAACGCTTTAGCCAGTTAGTTTTCTAAAATGATTTTGTTTCGTTTTGGCACCTACATATATCCCAGGGGTGACCCACATATTATTTTCAAGTTTGCCCTTTAGTTTTCAAATATCAGCATAATAGGGGACTTTACTGTTTAAAGTTAAGAAATTAAAATTTAAAGATTTAGACAGTTTCTAGATTCACATACAAGTGGGGCAGTTATCAATGATGCCTGGACCCCCCTGTATTTTTAACTCTGCCTTATAGTTTGAAGTGATAAATATAAGCATGGTAATTAAGAAGTTTTTTATGTAGATGTGGTTTGAATTTGTATTTTTCAGGAAATGATTGATGAGGCTGACAGGGATGGTGATGGTGAAATCAATCAAGAGGAATTCTTAAGGATAATGAAGAAGACAAGCTTATACTGATGTGTCTATGTACATAAGACTGTATATAGGAGTCATTCAGTGACACCCAAACCAGTGGGTGTCGTCTGGAAAGTGAGGCAGCCTGGTATTATTGACAGATCTGGACATTGGTCATCTAGGGTGTGTGTCAAAAGTTACAATATCGTTTTTTCCTTGGACAATCTTTATGATACAAGCATTTGTGGAGAAGAGTCATTTCTTAGATTTCAGGGGAGATAACTCATTGCAATTCATCAGGAATGTTGGATACTGTACAATCAGCCTTTCTATTATGCTCAGATTTCTGTTAAATTGGCAAAGGATAGTATTTAACATAAAGTATATAAATGTGGAAGTTGACAGGTTTTACATTTGATATTACAGTACATCTACAGTACAGTGACATCAACTTTTCACACATCCTATTCTTAAAATGGCCTTTCATGAACTGCTGTAGAAATGCAACGCTGGTGCACTTATGCAATACTTCTTTGCAACCTCAATATCATTATCGTCAATACTTCACATGTTTTCCATCATGTTACTCTGTAATTTGTGAATATATTCAGCTAATATTGTGGTGATGAGTGTATTTGTACTCAACTATTGAAATGAAGTGGTGCATTGCCAGGTGAGAGCTGCTCTGTGTATAAACTTTGTGCAAGCACTACTATTGCCTCTCAGTAATTTTGAGTAAAGTGATGTGTTGAATCGTGTTTGATAAGGTTCACTAAACCATAGCACTCCAAGTGTGTGCCTGAGGGTCTTGTCAAGGAGAGAGCTAGTGTGCAGGTAGCGTATACGGAGAGCCCATTGTCCGAGGTACTCAATCTGGCTTGAGCCAGGCCATTGCTTTATATGATGGTTAAAAATGACGATTTCATCACAAACAGCTGTATGTATTAATAAATTAAAGAAGAATGTTTTGTATACAGTCCTGTGAAATACTGATGATGCCGCAACAACTTCCCAACATCTAAATTAAATTTCTTCTGATTCAATTATTTCATCAAGCAAGGAGCATGCTTATCGGACTTATTTTGCCCCATGGTGAAAAATGTATTTTTTAGAATATTCAGCTGATTCAAGTGTTTGGTATTCAGATAAAGCCATTCAACTCCCATTACATTTGTGAAATATGTACTAAGAGTAAGACCTCATCAGCTATGCCATGCTCCATTTGTCTTTGTTCAGAGAGGAAAACTGCCAAATTCATTTTGATGTTAGAAATATTGTACATTGAATATCATGTTGGTAGACTGTTATTTCTATGTCTACAAGTGTTGAACATGATGAAAAGTGTTGAATATGATGAAAAATGTTTGAATTCTGTTTCCTTTTGTCCATGTTCTTTATGTATTTATTCAGTATTATCAATGACAAGTGCTACACATGGACTGGGTGTTGTGTATGATACCCTTGCTTGTCAACCTTAAGTTAATTGAAACAAGAAAAATATGAAATAGTAGCCAATGTCATTATGTTTATCACTCTAAAAAATAAATGCTTATCAGATGTTCAGAAGTAAAAAGAATTACTTTTACATTTAGTAGTCATTCAATTAACATTCCTTTCTTTCTGAATATATTTCCTTCACATTGCCAGCCTCATTACTTCATGTTCGAAACATTCCGCTACCAAGGGAGCAAAGATATTCTTTATCAATTGTGTATTTTGTCTCCATTTCTCAAGTCATTACTGGCAAATGACAGCATTACTTCCAGTCCATCTCAGTCAAAGTAGTTGTCAGGGTTACGGATTGGCAGATATCCCTTTCTCCAATTTTAGGAAACAGACCATCTTTGTGTTAACTTACTGCTGGTGCAAAACCATCTAATATACCTCCAGGGCTTGCATTTTGATGAAGTCACTATACCCTGGATCAATTTCAGTAGTTCAGGAAATCTCAAATTACCTGCCCTTGAGTTTCATAAATATTTCACGGACTAGTCAAATGTGAAAGGAAGAAAGAAATGGGTAAGGGAGGTAACTCATATTGCTATGGTGTTAATGTGACCCACCCAGTGTTGAGGCTTATTTGTAACTAGTATTTTGATTAGAATGTTAGATTTATTAGCAAAGCTGTTAAAATCACTTGTCAAAATCAGGGGCAGGTAATTTGAGATCACAAAAACCCCAGGAATAGATCAAGGGGTTAATTGAGGTTTACAAAAATGTTAGCTCTTGAGATACAGAGGATGGTGCAACATCTTTCCCCTCATCTATTCTATATTTGAGTGAGACCACTATGCATGCAGGACCAGAGTCATTCTTCTTTTACAGGGAAGGGCGGTGAGGTAGCCTAGTGGTTAAAGCATTTGCTCGTCACGCCGAAGACCCGGGTTCAATTCCCAACATGGGTATAATGTGTGAAGCCCATTTCTGGTGTCTCCTGCCGTGATATTGCTGGAATATTGCTTAAAGCTGTGTAAAACTGAACTCACTCACTCACTCTTTTATAGAGTCTGTCTGGCATAGATGTAATGGTATTAAGGAATACTATACTACTCACCTTTTGACAGGGATAATCAGATGTCATATTTTTATACACACTTGACATAACTATCGTATCATTGAGAGATATAAGTATCCCTTATCAAAATTTGAGTAGTATATCCGTGTGTTATGGCAAATCAATATTTCTAGTTTCCAGCTTTGTAATGGATTTGTTTTATTTCTCAATTCCAACTATACGATAAAACTCTAGTGTTAATAGTAATGTGCATGTGTTGGGTGATATCTTTGTCAGTGATTTAAAATGTAATGTGTAAGCATTTTCAAACAGCACTTTCTCAGCAGATACAACTAGTCTTCCCAAATACACTTTCCGTCACATAAAGACAGCACACTGTGTTTCAGTAATACAAGAACAGGCTCATTTGTAGGAGACAGAAATCCTTTATTACACTCTGACATTTATGATTAATGTAATTACTTTTGAAAGCCCAACTGTTGCTTAATGAAGAGTGAACAGTTAGGAAACAGCAGGGCCCCTGTTTTCGATAACCACTGTGTGCATTATTTCTTTTATTACCCCATGACTATAGTCCATCTGCCTTCAAGAGGTCATATATTTATTGGGTCACATATTCTTGTCTCAGACTGAATGTAGACATGTTGTACAAAGTGTTCATGTTGCCTGTCATAATAAATAATATTTTGTGTTCAGTTTGAATGTTTTCTTATCATTGAAAGGGCGAGTGTATGTGTGCGTAGGGGTAGCCTAGTGGTTGAAGCATTCGCTCCTCATGCCTAAGACCGGTTTCGATTCCCCACATGGGTACAATGTGTTTCTGGTGTCAGCCCATCGTTATATTGCTGGAGTATTGCTAAAAGCGGCATAAATATAAACAGTCACTCAACCATTGAACTTTTGCATAAAAATAACAGTCACTCAATCATTGAAAAGGGTGTATTGATTACTCAAGCAGTCTTACCCTGTCATGAGGCGGCCTTCCACAATCACACCCAGACTTGTATGTTTTAAGCTTCTAAGCATCAAGTTTTTATATGTTTTTTAATAGATACATATGTGGTGTGTGATAAGCACTGGATCATCATCAGTAATCAGGGAGTCTTTTATATCCAGGTGTACCAGGCAAAGGCACTTCATAGTAGGTAAGCTTTATGTAAGGCTCTACCATCGGCAGGAACCAGTACTCGAAGTTATAGAAGAAGTAGAAGCGATGGCTTGTATACACCTCCTCGTAAGCCTCTGCAAGGCTCTCCAGCAAGTGGCCAATAGATTGGTGGGATTGGAAATGCCCATAAAAAGCCAGCATGTCCTTCACAAGGGTCTCGTTCTGACCCGGTCCAAATAAGGTACTGGCGTTGCCTAGATGCTGAGGCTCGTTGCTATAGAGATGTATACGGGTGTAATTTAGGTGAACGCTGTTGTTGAATTTTCCTCCAAGGTCACCAATTTTCTGGAATGCCCTCAAAACGAAACTCGCACAGTCGAAGGAATCGAACCACATTTTCCCACCTGGAATGAAAAGTTGTTACGGGATCATGAATTACGACATTTGACATGTTAAAACAAACAGACGAAAGAAAGGAATGGGTTTCGTCAGAAAAGGGTATTGTTAATATGCTTAAAAAGGCGATCTTTCGAAATATGTTTTTTTTCAGTGTTGTTCCCAGGTGGTTGCACCCAATTACGCTAGTATACCGAGGCTGGGTCCCGATCCACAAAGCGTTCGTAACGTTACGACCTGTCGTAACTCTAGAGTTTATCATAGACTTAAGAATGTCGCTGCGCTACGAACGTTTTGGGGATCGGGACCCTGGTCTTCTTCCATTGCCATAGTTGCTGTATGTTGAGGATACACTTTTGTTTCCGTGTTCGAATATCAGAATATTTTATTTGAAAATGCAAAATTTGTCTTACTCATTGGGCCGAGTGGAGCATTGCTTTATCCTTTGTTCCGGATTTTTTATATTATTATATGCATGTCCTTCCACATTCATATTATAGAATAACAGATTTCACACGGAAGGTCTATGAATCAGGGACGTCAGACGAGGTCGCATCACCGGTACCGTTGCTTGGGGTTTGCGAGATGAAATGAATGGCCCCGTTCCGCAAACCGACATTCTCGCTAAGGTTGACATAAATCTATATTAACGTATGGGAGTTATCGGGTTAGCCCTACGATCGCTTTGCTGAACGGCCCTGGTCATATTGATAACAATTTATCTTTGAACATTAGATAAACTCATGTTTCTGCGACTCATTATCTGTGGGAGTTTTTGGCTATGCTGAAATTTCAGTGACTACTAGGTCGTTTAATATGTTAATTTTGAAATGTTACGAAGGATTATGCTTCACCCTAACGTATTTTGTAACTGTTTTGGCTGATACTATTTTCCGGCATAATAATGTGTGCTTGATGACAATATCAGGTTTTCAGCTTGAAATGTCTGCGGCCGTTCATGGTTACCTGGTTCACTTTCAGCAGTCCACGTTTCATAGAAAATCCCAGTCTTGTTGTCCCACAGTGTCCACTGTGCAAATTCGTTGAACATTTGACCTGGTACAGACAGAAAGAATACGTTTACTAACGGATTAATTCGCCCTGAAGATCAGGGTTTGAATGGGCCTTCAGAAACCCAAACTTGTCGTAAGAGGCGACAGTTTGTTCTTTTGTTGATTAACGCTACAGTCGGCAATATTCCAGCTGTATGACAGCTGTCATAATAATCGAGTCTGGACCAGGCAATCCAGTGATCGATATCATGAGCATATCGGCACAACTGGGATACGATGCCATGTGTCAACACAGTCAGCAAGCTTGACCACCCGATCCCATTAGTCGCCTCTTACGACAAGCATGAGTTGCTGAAGACCAAGTCTAATTAGCACGGATCTTCACGGGCAACTAACGGATCAGGTGGTTAGGCTCTTTCATTTGAAAAGTGGGGCGGTGAGGTAGCCTATAGTGGTTAAAGCGTTCACTCGTCACGCCGAAGACCCGTGTTCAATTCCCCCAAATGGGTTTACATTTGTGAAGGCCCCCGCCGTGATATTGATTTAATAACGCTAAAAAGCGGCGTAAAGCCATACTCACTCACTCACTTATTGGAAAAGTCGAGGCATTTATTTGTAATAGTGGTAAGACAGGTTTTCCAAGTCTTCCATGCCCGATAAGAAACATATTGTACTCATTCTTCAAAACCTCTGATGTACCCGAGGAAGTACTGACATGCTCCTCATGTCAACGCCGACAAAAATGTAAATCGGATGGACAAGCAGTGGACATATCTTGCGTATTATCATATTTCACCCTGCCTGTGATATAACGACTGCGGCGTTTAACAACATCCCTTCACTCACTCTCCATGCAGGGGCGGTGGGGTAGCCTAGTGGTTAAAGCGTGCGCTCGTCACGCCGAAGACCCGGGTTCGATTCCCTACATGGGTTAAATGTGTGAAGCCCATTTCTGGTGTCCCACGCCGTGATATTGCTGGGATATTGCTGAAAGCGGTGTAAAACCATACTCACTCACACTCCCCCTGCTTGCATACCGGTTATGTCGGCCACCTTGACCAAGGTGCCGTTTTGCGACCAGTGGATGTCGTCAATGCCGTCGTATATGCAGGTGGCGCCCTGGTTGCACCATTCCAAGGTGTTGTTGGGCAGAACGTGGGCGAAGGTGCAGTTGAACAGCTGGAACAGCTCGTACCACTCCATGGTGTAGTTGAGGCCGGTGTTGAGGTTCTTGAACCCAAGGGCGTCGTGCATGATATGCTGAAGCAGATGTTAAGTCCATTGCTGCACTATTAGTAACACTCATAGACCTCACAAATCCTATATATGGGATAGTACTAAGTGCAAACCTAATACTTTTTTATCGAATGAGTCCGTTCCTAGATTCAAACCCAACTCTCAGAGAGGTAGAGAACTGGAAGACCTAATCGCGTTGAGTCACAAAGCCTCTGAGAAGTGCAAAGACGCTAACTGTGCTAGTGATTAGGTGGCGCACTCTGAGAGTACGGGTTCCCAAGGGGGAATGATGTCTCAGTAGCATTATTATTGACAATTAACATATATAATTAGAACTTTAGAAAACTACCCTGATGTTATATTTGATTCAAATAATTATTTTGAAATATAGTACATGTCTCTGTAACATTGTTATTGACAATTAACGTATACAAATAACATGATAGAAAACTGCACTGAAGTGATATTGATTCAAACCATCATTTTGCAAAATACTATACAAAAGATTTATATAACATAGACAAAAACACACAAAACACGCTTACAACGTTTTGCCCAACCGGCACGTTTTCAAAATATCTTCAGGATGAATAGACTAACGCTTAGTCACTGAATATATATCATTTTAATAGAAACAAATGGTTCCTTTTAAACTGAAAAGGAGCCCCAGTGAGATGGGAGACCCTAAGGAATTATAGACTTGCTCCATTTAAGGCTTTAGCATTACAGAAAGAGCTGGGCGGACTAAGGGAGACAGGCTACAGAACGCAAAGTTGACTTAGTGCCCATTACATTAAAATGATGCATTGTACTTACAAACTTGGCAAGCAGGTCACCAAACTTGAACTCCCAGACTGGGGCCTTCAGAGCATACACCTCTATCACGTCAGTGGCCTGAAAGGTCGGCATGGTGTTGGCTTCTCGCCCTGTGGGACAGAATGGGATCACCCCAGCCTGGCAGTAAGGGTTTGTTGGGGGTCGGGACGTAAACCGCCTGAAAAACCATATATGTACCCTTAGAACACTGAGATCTTGTATCTTCTCTAAAAAGGAGTGAGTGAGTTTAGTTTTACGCCGCTTTAGCAATATTCCAGCAACACAACGGCGGGGGACACAAGAAATGGGCTTCGGGTTTTCAACGCGATGAGCGGACGCTTAAACCATTAAGCTACCTCATTGTCTCTATCCAAATACGAGGAACGCATGCTATTACAAAGTTGTTAGATTGCACATATTTTCTTTCTGATGCATATATTGATGCTCATTCTGTTGATCACTGGATTGTCTGGTCCAGACTCGAGTTTTACAGACCTCCGCCATAAAGCTGTCATATTGCTGTGTGCGGCGTTAAACAACAAACCAACGAGCCAACCACTCACTATTTGATGGTTGGTTGGTTTTGTTGTTTAACGCTGCTCTCAGCAATGTTCCCGCTATATGAAGGCGATCTGTAAATAATCGAGTCTGGACCAGACAATCCAGTGATCAACAGTATGAACGTCGATCTACGCAATTGGGATACGATGACATATGTTGACCAAGTCAGCGAGCCTGACAAGTATGAGTTACTGAAGATTAATTCTAGCCCGGATACAAAATTGTTAAGCGTCCAAAATCATTTACCAAAATCATTTGTTTCAGGGACAAAACTCACATTCATGAATTGGGGCGGTGAGGTATCCTAAAATGTTAAAGCGTTCGCTCGTCACACCGAAGACCCGGGTTCGATTCTCCACAAGGGTACAATGTGTGAAACCCTTTTTTGGTGTCCCCCGTCGTGATATTTACTGGAATATTGCTACAAGGGGCGTAAAGCTATAGTTACTCACTCACTTCAGAGTGATGAGCCAACGCTTGGACCACTAATCTACCCCACCCGATATGACAAGATCGCTGAGGCGTACAACGTTTAATTCAAGATTTCATATTCACAGGTCTCTGTAAAACAAATCTGAAAATAGTAACAACGTCTTACCGATATGGGACTGGCCATTCTGTTGCTGATGTTATTCCAATGACAACGAGAAATATCAACACAAGCCTATCGACCGCAGCCATTTTGAAGGTCTGGTGTAGATTTCGTGACCCTCATGATCAAATGACAACACGTGCTTGTAAGCTTCCATGGGCTACTTTAGCGATAGACACGTGAGATCGGATACAGGCCAGGGGTCAAAGGTTTTCGGATACAATAAATAAACACACCCGCCGTCTACATAGATAAAGAGCGTTGTGATCACACTGTAATTAAGTTGCTAGGTATACCAGTTTTCTATTCAGGGTTTAAAAGCAACGGCAATGACAACGAGCAACGTTGTTTGAAGCGATACTGCGAGATAATGCGATATCATGCTATATTTATAACCTACCAACTATTCACATATATACGTTAAGGAGAGCCCTCCTATATATACTACCCATCAATAGTTTAGACTCTCTTTAAACACTCACTATAGTCTGTTTGCAGTGAAAACGTACCGATGAATTTCACTTTAAACAAGAAAGTAAATCGAATAAAGTGAAATTAAGATTGCGAATCCTCATAATTTTACCTTGCCAACTGAACATTTAAATATCAGAATTTTATTAAACTTAGGATAAAAGTTGTTTAACGAACGATCATAGTTTCAAATCGTTTTTATTGGTTTGCATTGTAAGGGCGTTAAACAAATTTTATCCTAAGATGAATAAAATTCTGAGATTCAAATGTTCAATTGGCAAGGTAAAATTATGAGGAGTCGCAGTGTTAATTTCACTTTATTTGATTTACTTGTTTGTTTAAAGTGAAATTCATCGGTACGTTTTCACTGCAAACAGACTTTTTATGTTATGTATATATATATGGTTACATCGAAGATGAATTTCTCCACTAACTTGGGGGAACCAACTGTAAACGTTATGCAGATAAATCACACAAGAATCATGCATCCAAATGCTGTAAAGCATGCGCAAAACATCGTGCATGTGAACAGCTGCGTTTTGGTGTAAAGGTTTGGTAGGAATTCGCCAATTTCACTGAGTTTCATCATTTATTGAACTCATAACAGTAAACTTTTCAACGTTACGAATTTGTTTAACAATACGTCAGTTCATGTGTGAACAGTACCCTTAAACAGTATGGAGTATTTTGCAAAATCTAGTTGATTGAAGTAAGCGAGTCTAAACCTTTGATGGGTAGTATAGATAGCCTTGCTTTGCGTTGTAGGTCGTTATGGCATGACAAAAACACAGATGCTACCTCGCATGTTTATATAAAGCCTGATAAACATCATTATAACTTGCCCGCTTATGAATTCGTATTTTCGTCCATTATTTATAATTGAGAAACATTTGTATCAACATGTCCAGGTACCAGTGACAGTTGTATGAAGCATCTGGTAAACACTGGTATCAGTTCTTTCACGTGATCTAAAGTGAATCATATCATATGTGATTTTCATCTTACGCCTTATTTTCCTCTGCACATGGGATTCGTGACTGGGATGCTGTGATCTAAGGAGAATCAGATGTCAATTTGATGGAAGCCGTTATTTTCCTCTGCACATGGGATTCAAGACTGGATGCGGTTGACCTAAGGTGAATCAAATGTGAATTTGATGGAAGCCGTTATTTTCCTGTGCACATGGGATTCATGACTGGAATGCTGTGATCTAAGGTGAATCAGATGTGAATTTGATGGAAGCCGTTATTTTCCTGTGCACATGGGATTCAAGACTGGATGCGGTTGATCTAACGGTTAATCAGATGTGAATTTGATTGGAGCCGCTGTTTTCCTGTGCACATGGGATTCAAGACTGGATGCGGTTGATCTAACGGTGAATCAGATGTGAATTTGATTGGATCCGCTATTTCCCCCTGAACCTGGGATTTACGACTGTGATGAGTCGAGCCGATTCGACGTTCAGAAAAGCACCCCTCTGTCATGCGAAGGCCTTCCGATCGTGCTTTTGAGTCCCGATGGGTTCTTGTCATCACCAAAACCTTGGTCTCTGGTTTCACGAAACGGGTCATCTTCTAACACCTGCGTGCACTCCGGGTCCTCCAGCCACATTGTGCTGACATCCCTGATGTAACTAACATGCAGTATGTAGCAATGTTAGTGAGTGAATGAGTTTAGTTTTACGCCGTACCCTGCAATATTCCAGCTATATGGGGGCGGTCTGTAAATAATCGAGTCTGGACCAGACAATCCAGTGACCAACAGCATGAGCATCGATCTACGCAAACGGGATACGATGATATGTGTCAACCAAGTCAGCGAGTCTGACCACCCGACCCGATCGATTACGACAAGCATGGGTTACTGAAGATCAATTCTAACCCGGATCTTCACGGGTTGTAGCAATGTTAAACCAAACTCACTCATTCATGATCTGAGACATTACCGCCAAGTCTCAACGCGGTATCAACATGCAATCGTTTCAATGACACAATTAGGAACACAATCTTGTACATGATAGGTTTTATTATCACCGAGGATGTTGACAAACAAGTGTGTATCAATCAAGAATAACATGTACACCAGAATAACGCATCTCCATATAGGGTACCACCACCAACCCACCGCCCCTCTCCATACTCACGTATAATATTAAACCTTGAACCAAAGACTGACTGAGTTTGGTTTTACGCCGCTTTTAGCAATATTCCAGCAACATCACGGCGGGGGACACCAGAAATGGGCTTCACACATGGTACCCATGTAGGGATTCGAACCCGGGTCTTCGGCGTGACGAGCCAACGCTTTAACCACTAGGCTACCCCACCGCCCCTTGAACCAAAGAAAGCACATACGAACATAACAGATGATGAGATAACAAAAACATGTTACAGGTCCGAATAATGATCAACTCTTTGATATTACATCATATCACCCAAAACGATTCTGTAGTGAATTAACAGTTACGTTGTCTCAGACGAGTACATTGAGATGAAATTATAACATAATATCCACTCGACCACCCAAGCGGTCGCTTTATGGGAAATAGAGAGCTAGTTGTATAATGCTAAAAAACGGTTTAACAAGAGGTGCAAACCAATATTCGGAGTTGATATGAATGTATAAACCTCCGTGAGTTTCGGCATAAGTCTGCGCAATTAGCATATTTGTCGCCGAATTGAATCCACCAAATGTGTTGTTAAATAGGCGGTAGTAGTCAGTGATGTTCTTGGCCAACGATTCATCCCGCCCCGAGCCGAAGATTACCGAAGAGTTTCCGAGAAACGTCGGTTCTGGTCCTCGGCTGGCCATCATTGTGTAGTTTGCCTTGGCGCCCTTCACGAATGTCACTCCTATATCCGCCATTGCGTGGTAGGTTCTGTTTATGAAACTACCACAGTCGTTGGAACGAAACCAGAATGTTGAACCTTTAAATAGTACAATGATGTCTGACATTTTGTCCCAGAAATAACGTTATCTTATTATGAAATATAAACATCTAGAAAACAAAGCCAAATGGAGCCCCGAACAATCCCTAATCTAAGGAGGCAATCTATACTTGCCAAATCATGCTAGACTTGAGTATGACTCCTGTTTAATACATTCTCTAGTGTCTGGGAAACAAACTAGCCTCCAGCAGGATCAGTGATTCACTTGATGTCTGGCATGATATGTATTAATTGCATAGATCGATGCTATTGTCAGAAATTGAAGGTCTGGTCCACTCCATAATTTACAGCAAACACACAGCTGGAATATCCGAACCCGGGTCTTCGGCGTGATGAGCGAACGCTTCAACCACTAGGCTAACCCACCGCCCCGGAATATTGCTGATTGAGGACATACCAAAGAAACTTTGTACGAGACTTGACATCACTTTAGTGTATTAACAGGAGTAATCACCGTGTATTAGATCTATACCCAAAGAACTTATTTAAGCACCACTGATATAGCGCACGATTGAATGAGCCCAGATCTTAACCCTTTGGAACATATATGGGACATGACAACAAAGGGATCCTTCTGTACCGAACCTGGCCCAACTGGAAGCTGCTTTACACGAGGAATGGCGTATACTGCCCTTTCGGAGGAACAGAAGGCGGGGTATGAGGAGGAGAGTCATATAGTCACATGGAGATTACACTCGGTATTGACCTTAAATCGTGTAAGACAAGCAAAATGAGCAACATTAAACATTCCAGGGTCATACTTGTACAGACATGATTTTGTATGAAAATCGGTGTTTTTCAAAACGAGCAATTATCAGACAGGGGGTGCTTAATTAAATTCTTTGTGTATATATTATGAATGAGCATACAAAGATTCTACCGAAAGCCACCCATGCCTGATTTTCGAGAAGATCCTTACCTGAAGTGTCAAGGATAGTGCTGCCTCCACAGTCAATGTTTGTATCATTTTCATGCTGTAACCAGCCAGCATACTTGTTAAACTGGTTCCCTGAAACGACCAATAACATTTGACAGTAATTTTCCAGGATAACGATCAGTGAAGATCCGGATTTGAGTTGTTTTCAGCAACCCATGCTTGTCGTTAGAAGCGACTAACGTGTGGTCAGGCTCGCTGACTTGGTTGGCACATGTCATCGTATTCCAATTGCGTATCTGTTCCTACCAGTCATGTTTGCTGTGACTGACTGACTGAGTTTGGTTTTACGCCGGTTTTAGCAATATTCCAGCAATATCACGGCGGCGGACACCAGAAATGGGCTTCACTCATTGTACCCTTGTGGGCATGTTTGCTATGAGAGACATCTGTCACTTCTATCTGTTCTTACCTGTCCTGTTTGTTATGAGAGACATCTGTCACTTCTATCTAGCCCTACCTGTCCTGTTTGTTATGAGAGACATCTGTCACTTCTATCTAGCCCTACCTGTCATGCTTGCTATGAGAGACATCTGTCACTGCTATCTGTTCCTACCTGTCATGTTTGCTATGAGAGACGTATGTCACTTCTATCTGTTCCTACCTGTCACGTTTACTATGAGAGACATATGTCACTTCTATCTATCCCTACCTGTCATGTTTGCCATGACAGACATCTGTCACTTCTATCTGTTCCTACCTGTCTTGTTTCGCTATGAGAGACATCTGTCACTACTATCTGTTCCTACCTGTCATGTTTGCTATGAGAGACATCTGTCACTTCTATCTGTTCCTACCTGTCATGTTTACTATGAGAGACATCTGTCACTACTATCTGTTCCTACCTGTCATGTTTGCTATGAGAGACATCTGTCCGTTGTTCTCGGGCAGGAACTTGTCGCTTATTGCATCAGTGACGCAGAAGCCGCCTTGATTGCACCAGAGAAGACTGTCGTCTTCGAGCACTCTCGCGAATGAACATTGACTGATGAGGTACAAACCGTACCAGTCAACGGTGTAGTTGGTGTTGGTGTTGACGTTACGGAAACCTACGGCCACGTGCTTCGGAAACTGCCAAAGACAAAATATGCAATTTTTCATTTATTCAAGCGGAACAGTTTAACATATCTTCAGTTTTGCTTTTGATAACATGGATAGAACGCCCACCCACCAGCAATGTCGCAGTGGGGTTTAAAATGATTATTTAATATTATATTGGGGGCACTAAAATGGGTTTATGTATGGGGAATTGAACGCGGATCCCCTTTAGGGATACAGCCGAATCCGACACATTTACCAGTCCAAAGATGGGACACATTAAAAAACCCACACTATTTGTTAATCCTCAAAATGTATGTAGATCCTAAACACTTTCCTTGTCCCATACTTTTGAAGCGTCAAGGTCTAAGCATGCTCACTACCTAATCAAATATCAGCCGTTTCCCTAGTGTTTAATCTAACCCAAATTTAACACTGGTATTCTTACATCAGGCAAATGTAGGCTTGGCGTCAGATCGGAATACATATGGAACAGTTCCACTCGGTCATTATCGGAGAACCTCGGCATACTGATACCATTTGCACAGAATGGTGGGTTGGGCTTCTCACATCTCGGATCTAACGGTGGCCGGTGAGACACTCGCCTGCAACACAGAGTGAGTGAGTGAGTGAGTGAGTGAGTGAGTGAGTGAGTGAGTGGGTGCTCTTTCAACAGTAGGCCTATTTCATTCAGAGAAATCACGAATATAATCCTGATGTTGTGCAGACAAACATGGGGTCATATTAGGGAAATAGATGTAATTCGAATGAGTAAGTTTAGTTTTCCGCCGCTTTTTTCAATATTCCCGCAATATCACGGCGGCGATGTAATTCGAACCTTCATTACTGAATCATTGTATATTAGGGACACTCCTGTCCAAAACATGTTTTACTTGTTAAGGAAACATTTCTATACCTAAATTTTACATTTTGGATAGAAGGGCGCCGTCCTGGCCGATGACGATAAGCTGGATAATTGCTAAGTGTTTTCGTTACACCACAAATATACAACAGAACGGCTAAAATTTCACTTACCGATGCTCAACTGGCCACTTGCGTTGTTGGGAATATACTTGTGACAGACAGATGATTGTGAGGATACCAAATATCATTGAGGACATGTTTTCGTTTTCACAATCCAGTGTTGTGTGTGTGGAATTGTCACATTGTGAAAACATTAAATATGATTCAGTTGATGGACCTCCTGGAAACTCTTTCAAATTTGGAAATGTCATCTCAAATTAATTTTGCGAATACCTGCAGTGATTTAATTAAGTATGTTAACATGCAAGTGAAAAGGGGTTATTAATTGGTTACTGATCATATTTAGGAAGTGGTCAAATGTAACATATGTTACATTTTAAGGGGGGAAGGGACAAGAAAGAGGGAATGGTGATGATTTTAAAGGGGGTTATCCATTTTGTTCTGGGCAGGTAGGGGAGTCATCAATTTTCGGGGGTTTGGGTGGGGAGGGGGAGGGAAGGTCAGCCATTTTTCTCAATTTTGTACATAATGATATTAAACAAATGGGCTTAAAAATTATGGGAAGGGGTGGGTGGGGGTCATTTATTTTGTACATGGCATGATGGGGTGTGTGTTACTTTGTACATAAAGTTTAGAGGGGGGGGGGGTCATGAAGATTCTCCATAGCTTTCTACTTCACTTGGAGTTTGAATGATCATCATGTCCGCGCTCGTTCGGATATAACGATCTTATTTGTGTGTCGTATTAAACTAAGCGCGCCCATTCCTGATAAAAGCAAACGTATTCACTAGCAGAGGTTTCGTTAGGAATCATGTGACATAAGTCACGTGATTTTGCAACCGGTGTCACGTGACTAAACAACATGGCGGCTATATTGCAAAGCTTGCCGCAAGGTGAAACCATCAAACCATTTCCAAGTAGAAATACAAACGCAGTTGCTTTAATATACGATGGAGTATTTTTTAAAATACTTTCAAGTTGTTCAATGAGTTCCTGGAATGTTATTTGGAGGGTAGCAATAAATCTTAATATATAATCGCAATCGCTCGTCCGGAATTCGTAGCTGTTATTCTTATAAACTTACATCAAAATTGTAAATATTTTTCATGGCCAGTGTATCCTCCAGCGTTGGAGTGGTATGATGCTAGCTGTGACACAGGCGCCATAAAACATTACAGTTTGCAGAAATAGTTTCAGATACGCATTCGTGTGGTCGGCGACAGTTGAATGATGTAACATAAACATGTCATATTACTAATATACCATGTTCATGTTACATCATTCAACTACCGTGTGGTCGGCGACAGTTGAATGATGTAACATAAACATGGTATATTACTAATATACCAGGGGCGGATACAGCTTTTGGAGAAAGGGGGGGTGCACACTATTGAGAAAAGGAGGGGTGCACACTTGCACCCCCCTCTGGATCCGCCTATGAATATACCATGTTTATGTTACATCATTCAACTGTCGCCGACCACACGAATGCGAATGCGTATCTGAAACTAGTTAGGCGAGCACACCTTGGTATATAGTGCAAGGTCGTTTAGTTATATGCTGGACTATGTGGGCATGAGACCAGGACGAAACTCCACCAAAAACTAGAATTAGTACTTTTCTAAGAAAGTGTAATCCCATTATGACCTGGTACATTTCACCTCTTTACGAAATGACAAAATTGACCCTAAACCGTTGAAACCATCCGCACGTTCATGTGTTTCAATTGCAACGAGACTTTTACAGCTACAACTTCTGCAGTAACTGTTCCAGACATAACACTGTGTTTACCTGTTACGTTTAATCAATTTAGCAATGTTAATCATGTTGAAAGTGGAGAGATTTTCTCCTGAAAAGAATCTTTGTTTTGTTACAGTTTGTCATGTCACTGATGTTTTTGTTCAGGTTTCCAAGAAGCTATTACAGATGCAAGTCAGCTTCCTCAAGATATGCTTGCACAGATTGTGAGTAAAAAATAGAACTGCTGTAATACAAGTTTGCAACCCTCCTCCACCCTCATTCTATGATGAACAAGCAATATCGTAATTAAACTTGTATTTATATAGGATTTTACCAGAATACATCTCATACCAATCAAAATTAAGAGTGGATGCAAATGACATCAACTGTTAGTCTCATTTGATGCAAAAGAAAATGAATATGGGTTGGTTGAAATTAGATTAGCTGATAATGTCAGATGGAGTAAATGCTGTCATAGTCCAGAGACCATATATGGTCTCTGCTTAGGACGAACATTGCCATATTTGGGGAAGTGAAGTGACAGATGTTTGAAAGGTTCAATAATGTAATGATTGTCATGCAATTTTATGATAGCTTCAGCATCTTTTGGATCATTCTTGCAGTGTTGGAATGTAGTTCCATCCCTTTAGGCAGGCCAGTAGCCTGTGGTTATTGGTCCCTGTTTGCATTGATTATGTTCCTGGGTTCATCAGTCGACACCAGACCCTTGCTCACAGTTAAAAAAATTACAATAGGAAAAATTAATTCTGCACCTTAATTCTGGATCATTGAGAATGAGTATGTCAGTATTCAAGAATATGAATATGTTAGAGCTGATGTGAAACGTGGTCCGATGTTGTGTTTGAAATTATTGCACTACTGTAATGAAATGCATGAATGTCTATTAAAATAATCAGCGTCATGAGCATTGCTCTACTTATCGTATCCCAAATGTGCAGATCAATTAGGGCTGCACAATATAACCGGTTAACCAGTATTTACCGGTTCAGACCTGAAAACGATACGTATTGCGATTCGCTGATCGAAAACCGGTACTTTGACATGCATTTGGAAAACTTCGTAAACTTCGTAATCTTCGGATATTTCGGTTTTTTTTTAATTGTTCTTTTCCCTGTTTCATTAGTGCCAAATGTTACTTACATTTTTATTTTGTCATGATTAAAAGTTTTTATAAAAGGTTAATCAATCATAGTGATTTTGTTGTGTTTTTGCTTTATAATCAAGCATTAACTCGATTATAAGTAGTTTTTGTTAACAAAATAATCCTTGCAATATATTGCAATACATATCGCAATATATGCTTCCACATTGCAATATATCGCAATATGAAAATTCTCTGCAATACCCACCCCTAAGATCAATGCTCATGATGTTGATCACCGGATTTTCTGGTCCAGACTCAATTATTTACAGATGGCCGCCATATAGCTAGAATGTTGCTGAGTGCAGCGTTAAACAAAAAACGAACAAACTATTAAACTACTTGTACTTCTCCAGATCTGTGCCAGTTTATTAATGCTAACACATTGAGATACTATGATGCAGTCTGACACGAATACCCCTGTCATTAAACTGACTCCAGACTGACCATTCTTTGTTGTGTCCCCATAATGCTGACAGCCAAGTAGAAGACAGGGTCAAGGACAGCCAACCTGTTCTCGGGACAGACGTTCCCTTTAATAGACTATGGAGGCGGTATAAACAGTGTTTGAAATTTGCTTGACACTGCAACAGTCTAAGTAAACTTAGGCTCAGTATTATTTGTTACACTGCCATACTGATCAGTATTGCAATGTAAGGAAAAATACTGAGCCTAAGTTTACTTAGACTGGACCCTGCCAGCTCTTCTTAACTACTTTATTGCCAATTGCACAAATGGTTACTACCAGCTAGTTATTTCTGTCCGAGTGATGACTGTCAATGTATTTGAAAATATCTGGGAGAACTACTTCCAAGATGTTTTCAACAGAATAAATCATTATTATACCAAAGAAATAAAGAGATTCTCCTTCAAGTACTTCAATTATGGTCAAATTGGTTTTTTTCAGAAGGTCTTGGTAATTGTGTACAACTCATTCCCTATTGATGCATGTTTTCAGTGCCAGGATGTTTCAACGTTTCTGCAGTACAAATCTGGTCCAGTAAAGCCAGAGAAGTATACACAGGTAACCTCCATCTCTTTAATACTCGCTGTTTCACAAGTGCTCAGACTTTGTGGTTAGTCCTGATGGAATGTAAAATGTATTCAGTTTGTAGCATAGAGGACTGGTTTAGAGTTACAGCTCTCAACAGCTACTAGTCTGTCTACACACTAGCGGTAATTTTGAGGGCTTCAGGTAAACATGTCGCAAGAGCTATCTTTATGTTTATAAAGCTGTGAATGCTAAAAGAACTCTAGAAAGTCTGATAAAAATTATGATGATGACTCTATTAGTCTCAGGCTAACAGACTAGCATGATTTTTTAGGGCTTCCGGTGAACATATCGCAAGAAATATGTTAATGATTATGAAGCTGTTAAACGTAAATCTAAGAAAATTGATCATGTATTGTCTACTTGCATGCATTTAATAACCTGAGCATGCAACTTTCAAGACTGGCTAGTTATATTTTTGTGTCTCCAGCTTGTCTGTCTTGTTGGGAATTGAAGTACATTACTCATTACTCTTATTTGGCTATTTCCCTGATAGGTAGAATGAACACACAGATGTTGCAAGTGACAGTTACCATGGTAACAAAACAACAATGAGTCTGAGATTGTGTCATGTTGTGATTCCTGATTGACGACGTATCACACTGACAGTTGACAATGTGTGTGTTCTAATATAGATGGTATCTTGCAGCTTCAGTTTCACAATGTCATGCAGGTTCATTGTGTACATCAGAGTTGCTCATGATTTGGAAAAGCAAATGACAAAACAGGACAATTTTCATGGACAAGTGAAACATAGGTTGTTAAATCCATTGGTAGATCACAAAATACCTGGGGGTTAGTGATAGTTTATCTAAAGTAAGGAAAGGTTTACAGACCATTTATTTCTATGTATCAGTGTGCTTTCAAAATTACATTACATTTCAAAATTTAAGAAAAACCTTTTGAAATTAAATTGAAAAGAAATGTAAACAAAATTAATTTTTTGTATAATATCAATTCATTCATGACCCTGTCCAATTATTTTTTTTTGTATGACCCTCCTTTGAAAACCCATATTTTTCCATGGCCCTCCTCTTATTCCCTCTGAAGCCCAATAATAAATAGCCCCTCCCTTGTTGATTATAAAGAAGTTATAAAGTTTAATAAAAAAGTTGTTGTTGTACGAAGAAAGGAACAAATATCATTTGTCAACCAAAGTTGAAAAATATTGTTGTGCTTTTACATTTTTCGTTCACTGAAGGTCATGAAAAAAATTGAAAAGGACATCTGAAGGGTCGAACAAAATTATGACAAGCATGAATTGAGGGGCTATACATCTTCAGGTACATTTGTGAATCAAACATGCCCCATGCCCCGACCAAACCCACACCACCCTGCCCCCCTGTCATAAATGACTGATCATTAACCTAAATTGTTTCACCTAAACACTAAATTGTTTTGTACATTTAAGTTTTGTATATGAATGTGACTATGGACAATATCACTTGTAAAAATATTGTTTCTGCCAAGAAACTTTTTCCTTAAAAAATAAGTAATGAAAACCTGTAGAATAAATATCTCTTGACTTATGAAACTCTTGTTTTTGACTGGTATGAATATATATGACATGTAATAAAACAATGTGTGCCATTCCCACTATTAGAATGGTGATGTGATGTATAACATATACAAATACACTGTGTGTTAAGCTAGCATACATTCATAGCACATTATGTATTTGATTCTTGCAGCTATTGGAAGCCGCCTCAGCAAGTCCAACCAAGGTCTCAATGAATAGTGTTGTGAATGCTCTCACCTATATACTTCGGTAAGTTGCCTGATAAATGGTAAGATGGTAATGATTACGATGTTGGATGTTGTTGTTATGGTGACAATGATGATGATGGTGGGGGTGGAGGTGATAATGATGTTTTAGAATGTCTTAATGATGATGAAGATGACGATGATGATGTAGTTGATGTGGGTTTGGTGATGTGATGATGATATTGATTATGATGATCAGATGAAAATGATGATAATGATGTTGATGGCGATGATGATTATGATGATGATCCTTCCTAATGGCTGTGATGTTATCTTAGATTTTGCATCTGGTTTGATTCTCAGATCGGCTGCAGCATTAAAGCTAGATGGCGAGGAATTTCAAAATCAGCTGATCACATCAGATATTTTCACAAAGGATGTTTTGGACACACTGGTGCACACCTGGAGGGAGCAGGTAAGGGGGAATGTACGATCATATTTAGCTGACATGTACAGATCCTGCAGCTCTTATTGAAAAGAATAACTAAATCTCTTCACTATGTGAGTGAGAGTTGTTCCATTCACTGGTGAAAGACATTCAAAGAAAGTACTTGTTGTTACCTTGCACTCAGAATTGAGTAAATGTGACAAGCCCTCGTGGGCTTTGAATATGTCTTATTGATAATATGGGTTCGATTCCTCTCATAGGTACAAAGTGTGAAGCTCATTCCTGATGTCCCCCACCATAATATTGCTGGAATATTGCTAAAAGCCACATAAACACATACTCACTCACTCACACACGCTTGACGTTTCATATTTCTTTGTCAGGGGAGACAACTCATGGAAACAACATCACAACTGCAATGCTTGAACGTGGGACAGGTTAGTATCATATACAATCATTGGTCATGCTGATAAAAACTGATCTACAGAAGATCTCTGGCAACGTTTTGAGCTGAGTTTTGTTGGTTAATTTGATGCCTATGCTACTACAGTGGAAACCTGATAAGTAAAATTTCAAGGGACTCACCAAAATTGTTTACTTATCAGGTATTTTACTTATCCAAACTTATAAAAACTGGCAAATGACAACCGTATGCATGTATATGTAACAATGAACAACTTATCAGGGCTGGCCTTCAGTTGTCGGTGTATTGTCAACTGCGTGCTGCCAGTGAGCTGTAAGTAGGATGTTTGTTTGACTGGAGACTGACACGTGCCCCTCATGTCGGATTACGTGGTAATCACTAATTTAGTTATCTGGTCTCTTTTGTTAAGTAATTTACTTCCAGGGACCGTGAGAAGACGTTTAGTTAAGCGGTATTGTTTACTTATCCAAGTTTAGTTAACCAGACTCTAATAGTGATAATTAATGAAGAAATTTGCCGGGACCAAAGAATAGTGTTTACTAATCAGGTCAGTTTAGTTAAGCGGTCTTTACTTCTGCGGTTTCCACTGTATCTCTATTTACAGTTACCACTCTGTAACTTCAGTTGAATTACAGTGTGTGTTTTCACATAGTATTAGAATGGCGATAATCTTCTGTTCTTATCCTTCTCTGTCAGCGTTGTCAGCATATTCACAGTCATGCTATAAACACAAGCAGAATGTTGAGTCTCGACACAACAGTGCTTCACGATATATATGTGATGTAACATATCTTATATACTCTTACAAAAAAAGTAGGGGAACTTCATTGTTAATTTACAATTGAAAAATTGGGAGATATTTCAGAGTCAGTCAATGTTGATATGATAATAATGAATGTTGTGAGAGTGCATCACCACCTGCACTTCGTTACGACCATAGTTGTTTGTACAGTAATCGCTCTTGAAAGATGATTGGTTTATGATGTGAAATTTGCATGTGTACGATTTTCATTTTCAAACCAAATAACCCGGCTAGAAACAAACACTTACAAGTGTGTGATGCAAGATGATTGTCAAGATTAATGGTCTACAGTGATTTTTCGACCTTCTTCATGTTCTTGTAAACCGCCAAAATCAAGAATGACACCCCATGCTCGTGTATGGGGCTACTGCGTTCATCCCATGAGTTGTGTTTAAGGGTGGTGCAAAAGAGAAATGGCGGTTTGTTCTTAAGATGTTTGTCTTTGAAAAGTTTGTTAATGCTTAAATTTCCTATCCAAATTGAAACTTCAGGTTCCACTACTTTTTTTTAAGAGTATATGTGGGATCACACTTTATCAGTAAAGTGCAGATTCTAGGGTTTTTGGGGGTTGTTCAATCGCATTCAACTACCTTCGATTTTTTGTAATTGATAAGTTTTATTATCTGTGTCTTTATCAGACTGGATTGTCATGCCCGCGGTCACGTCATAAGGTGCAGATAACTCTAAATGACAAAACTGGAAAATGGCGTATTCATTCATTGCTTGAATGAACATGTAATCAAATGAAAACCATACATTTTGAGCACTCAATCCCTCACTCCCTTGATCCCCAGCTGCTGGACCTGCAGTGGAGAGTGGGTGTGGCCATTAGTTCCGATGACTGCAAGAGCCTCAACTCCCCCCACCATCACCCTCCTCCTCACCATCGCTGAGACAGGTGGCAGCATCACCAAACACTCCGTGGAGATGACGCTCACCCAGTTTAGGGTAGGTGCTGCCATCTTGGACAACAAATGAGTTTCTTTGAAATGCTGGGAATTAATTTTATTCATATAACATGTATAGGTGTTTGAAGCAAACATGTTTAAAACAGCTAGCTGTTGATCTCTGAATTTGACCCTCAGCATGTTTAACATAGATGTTGAAATGCACAAATGATACACATCGCACATCACTGATCATGAAGGTGAAATATATTTTTGGCAAACTTGGCAAATTCAGCCATAATGCATTGCTGTGGTAGCCATGTTATCTGGCACCTCACACAATTGAGATTGTTTTCATGCATTATTCTTCTTAGATGTAGTTAGAATGTATGCTATATTTTGGAGTTTATTATTTATCTTGTTTTGTTATAATATGACTTAATATTGAAAATAATTAAAAACAATTTTATGAACTATAAATCCTCAGAGCTATATCTTTCTGTGACAGTAAATATATGTCAGAAATGTGTACAACTTTAGGCATTGTCTTCATTCTGTTTCAGAATTTTTCCCGGCAGTTAAAAGAAATGGCAGTGTTGATGGAGACAGTTTGACGAATGCTAACCTCAGCTGTTTTCAAACTGACAGGGATAAAGATACCAGTTAATTCCATTTTATATTGACACAAGTCTATCATTACCATAGCAACCAGTGTTTATTTGTGTGGCACATGATCCTGCATCTCCTATATACTACTATTAAATACAGGGCTTTCTTGGCAGTGGGGTAGCACAGTGGTTAAAGTGTTTGCTTGCCTTGCTGAAGGTCCAGGTTCCTTTCCTTAATATTAGTCCAGTGGTTGATATGCATTTTAGGAGTCCCCTGCCATGACATTGCTGGAATACTGTTAAAAGTGGCCTCATACCATACTCATTCATTAAGGGGCGGTGGGGTAGCCTAGTGGTTAAAGCGTTGGCTCGTCACGCCGAAGACCCGGGTTCAATTCCCCACATGGGCACAATGTGTTAAGCCCATTTTCTGGTGTCCCCCGCCGTGATATTGCTGGAATATTGCTAAAAGCGGCGTAAAACTAAACTCAGTCAGTCAGCCCATTCATTAACTATTTGGCTGTCTTGGTTAAACAGTGAAGATCTGTTTTTTTAGAATTGTTCTTCAGTAACCCATGCTTGTCGTAAGAGGTGACTGGCGGGATCAGGTGGTCAGGCTCGTTGACTTGGTTGACACCTGTCATCGTATCCCAATTGTGTAGATTGATGCTGATGCTGTTGATCACTGGATTGTCTGGTCCAGACTCGATTATTTACAGACTGCCGCCGTATAGCTGGAATATTGCTGAGTGCGGCATAAAACTAAACACACTCACTCACTACACAAAATACGATAAAAAGATTGTATTTGTTGTTTCCCTGTCTGGTAGGTATCGGAATGGGTCAGCACAATGAATCAGGCATTGGTCCTGATGAGTACAAGCAAGCACAAACACACGTGCATATGTGTCGCAATATGCAGGTATATGGGGTGATTGACAGTCAGGAGAACCATGTTTATACCCCTTATCTTCAACATTGGGGGGACCCGTGAAGATCCGGGGTAGAATAGGTCTTCAGCAACCCATGTGCTTGCCATAAAAAGGCGACTATCTTGTCGTAAGAGGCGACTAACGGGATCGGGTGGTCACTTTCGCTGACTTGGTTGACACATGTCATCGGTTCCCAATTGCGCAGATCGATGCTCATGCTGTTGATCACTGGATTGTCTGGTCCAGACTCGATTATTTACAGACCGCCGCCATATAGCTGGAATATTGCTGAGTGCGGCTTAAAACTAAACTCACTCACTCACTCAACATTGGGGGCGGTGGGGTAGCCTAGTGGTTAAAGCGTTGGCTCGTCACGCCGAAGACCCGGGTTCGAATCCCCACATGGGTACAATGTGTGAAGCCCATTTCTGGTGTCCCCCGCCGTGATGTTGCTGGAATATTGCTAAAAGCGGCGTAAAACCAAACTCATTCAGTCATTTCAACATTGATGTTAGTTCAACTACTTAACAGTAAGGACCCGTGAAGATCCGGGGTAGAAAAGATCTTCATCAACCCATGCTTGCCACAAAAGGCGACTATGCTTGTCATAAGAGGCGACTAACGGGATCGGATGGTCAGGCTTGCTGACTTGGTTGACACATGTCATCGGTTCCCAATTGCACAGATCGATGCTCATGCTGTTGATCACTGGATTGTTTGGTCCAGACTCGATTATTTGCAGACCGCTGCCAAAAAGGTGGAATATTGCTGAGTGCGGCGTAAAACTAAACTCACTCACTCACTCACCTAACAGTAAGACAACAGCTCAGTGTGGTGTACACTTATGCTCAGCTGCCATCATAGAAGCAATATTGGTTGATTCCTGCATAAAAATATTAGTACATGAATTTTGAAAATATTTAATTCTGATTGGCCTATCCGAGGTTACAAATCACAATAACCACTTCTGATTGAATCAGCAACTTAGATTTAAGGCAATATGTCATCATTCCTTTCACATTAGGTTTGTGTACTCTACAACAAAGAGTGTTGTGGAAACAAACCTGTGAAGTACTGACCATGGAGAAATAACTTGTGGATTAACTTGGCCACTGTTGAATGTGGAGGCTCTGCCAGACATCAATAAGTACAAAATTAATTATTTGCTGATAAACACTGTAGTGTTGGGAATTGGATAAAATCTCATAATTGATGATTGGTTCAATACAACCGATCAATCATCGAAAATAATTGGTCAGCATCATTTATCAAATGTTTCTGGTTATGTTTGTTACTGCACAAAAAACAAAGAAAAAACATGTAGTTCTTATGAGTCATTTTGCAAATTCCACAAAATGCATGTGCAAATTTAACATCTTTAAAGGATGACTAGTATGTTAGGAACATAAATTTCCAGGAGTCTTTAAGATAAATTCAATCCTGACTTGGAACGAGCTTGTAATGTTTATGAAATGTAACAGACAAAACCAACCTTGTGAAAAATATTGTTAATGCAAACAAGTGTTCCAGAATTGTTTGTGTTCGATTATGAGAAAACATGATCGATTGCTTGGTCGTTTAGTCATTGCGACCAATCTTCGATTATTTCAATTAATCGGACCACCACTAAAACACTGTCAGTAATCAATACTTATATATGAATGATTATTTATGATACTCAATGGTGCTGCGTGTTGCTACTTTTTGTTTTGTGTTGCATTGTCAAAAATTAAATCTTGTGTTCAATATATAGAAACAATAAGACAGGAACTGAGAGTGTGAGTGAGTGAGTTTAGGTTTTCGCCGCACCCAGTACTATTCCGGCTTTATGGCTGTGGTTTGTAAATAGTCAAGTCCCGACCAGTCAAACCAGGGATCAACTGCATGAACATCGATCTACGCAATTGGGATACGATAACATGTGTCAACCCAGTCAACAAGCCTGACTACCTGATCCTGTTAGTCGCCTCTCACGACAAGCATGGGTTACTGAAGATCAATTCTAACCCGGATCTTCACAGATGGAAGTGAGAGACTGTGGAAGTGAAGTTGAAGACAGACAGTGCTTGAATGTCTGATGGTGACAATGATGCCATGCTCATGTTAACAGAACTGTTAAGTGTTTGTTTACTGTTATGATCTTAATATTTGTTAAAATCAGTGAGGTAGCCCAGTGGTTTAACCATTCGCTTTTCATGCTGAAGACCCAGTTTTGAATCCCCACAGAGGTACAATGTGTGAAGCAATGTGGTGTTTCTCATGGTGGTATTTCTAGAATATTGCTAAAAGTGGTGCAAATCCATACTCACTCACTCACTCACTATTAGTGATAGTATCAAAATTGATTCTCTCTTGAGTGGGGTTCGATTCCCCACATGGGTACAATGTATGAAGCCCATTTCTGGTGTCCCCAGTCGTGCTATTGCTGAATATTGCTAAAAGCGGGGTAAAACCAAACTCACTCACTAACTTTTGAGGAAATGTGGGTTAGCCAAGTGGATAGTGCTGCCACTCATTATGATAGTAATGTTTGCTCGGAATACTGAATATAATACTTAGAGTTAAGAAACTCAGTAATCTTAAGAGTGCCTACTTACATCAACTCCAAACGAATGAAAATGTACTGTTCCATGTCAGTATCAAATACTATTCACATGACAACATCTTCACATATACATTCAGCCCCCACTGAGAAGGTCAGAATATCCCCATCAAAAGTTGTCAGGTATACAACTATACAAATAGAAGAAAGACAAAGCATTTGATAGGGATATTTTAATGTTTCTTTAGCAGTTAGACATAGCATCATGTGTATATGAAATATGAAAGATGAAGAGATCTTACACTGTTCCACTTTTGAAGTCTTTGTTGGATATTTTTATCTCGTAAACAGCTACAGAAAACTGATTCTCATTGTTTCAAATGTATATTTATTGTTTAAGACATCCAATTATCTTTACCTAAAATTGAGTAGTATATTGAGTAGTATATACTGTTATTTGTCAGCTTGAGGCATTTTGATATTTGGTTATTATGACACCATGACAGGTGTTTATTTGGTGAGTGTGCATAATGATATTTGCTTTTTATACTATTGAGACATGATACATAGTCCAGCTTTTTTATGTGTATCATATGTATCCAGATCTGACAGAAACCCCATGTGTTTTAAAGCTTTGAATTTCAGGGATTTTGAAATGACATTGTTCTTTGACTCTCCAGTGAACACCACCTGTCATATTTGCTTATACTTTCATATATCCTAGCAGAGAAAATATACTGTGCTTCCTATTAAATGGTGAGAGGTTTATGTTTTCCAGTGTAACAGCATACATATGTACAACAGTGTTATACTCATTATTAACCGGTTTTGAAAGGCTAAAAAACTAAATTAAACTCTGTATCCAGTTTGTCTAGTTACTACCGGTATCTTACATCACATTCAGTGAAGTCCGTTTCACATGAAATTGCATGGAAATGAAACTATAAGGACAAGAAGACTCTGGAATAGAACCTTCTTGTCATTATGTTTTTGTCAGCTTTTACAACAAAGGACGATGCCATTAAGAGATCTTATTATAGCCAACTACTGGGTATAAAGTAATATCTTATGTGTTGTGTTCCTGAGTAATATCATTTACTTTTGATATTCATGCAACTAAAGACTGTTCAGGACATGGAATAATTCTTTGGGAAATGTTTATGAAATTAAGTTATTGTTTTTCACTACACACCATCCCACCCAGTATTCATAATCCCTTTTTTTGTTCAGTGAAGAATATTTAATTTTTATATTAACTCATTTGATAAAGACACATGGAATCCTAAAGATCTGTTTTGAAAATGTGGTAGTACATTGTGTCTGTGTTTTTTATATATTTTATTTATTTACAATGGACTGTCCATTCACTTGTTTAGTGTTATGATGCTTGATTGACCTGTTCAGTGTTATGACACTTGATTGACCTGTTCAGTGTTATGACACTTGATTGACCTGTTCAGTGTTATGACACGTGATTTACTTGTTCAGTGTTATGACACTTGATTCACTTTTCAGTGTTCTTATTTTTTCCACAGTGATATATTGTCATGTAAGCATGTCCTTCATGTGGTGTTGTGTTGCCTGTTTTATCAGATAAACATGTTACGCTTTCTCATTATCAGCCATTAGCGAGACAGTTGTATGGATATACGACTATACCATTAAAAAATAGTAGGGGATATTGGATGTACAAGATTGATAAAATGCAGATGATGAAGCCAAGGAGGAAAGAGATGATGAAGAGAAATTAAGGGGAAATGTGACAATTTATTCCATTCCTTTGGAAATGTTTCATCTGTATGGATATATATCACTTTTTCTCATATGCATTTGCATTGGCTAGTGGTATGCTCGAAAAATTGAACATCCCCTACTTTTTTGAATGATATAAATTACAATGAGTATTTCAGTGAAAATAGTATATGTAACTCCCTTACCAAGCAAGTGACATTGCATCACGTTCTGGTTAACGGTGTTACTATCTATGTCACACTCTTTGTTACTAAGTTGTATATCCATAGGATTATTGCTTTGTTCAGTGTAACAGCTTCTAACTGACACTTAAAGAAGTTGGCCATGGCCTTCTAGGTGCAGCTTTGGTTTTGCCAAGGGCGTGGCTAAATAGGTGACGTGGAACTGTGGCTATTGCCTCTTATATGTGTGGCAGGTGATGAGTGACACCAATAAATATGTTTATACAATATATCCCGGTCTTTTGTTGTGTTTGCAAGGTGAAACATCAGGACATGTATTCAGAAGGGTATCTTAAACTCCCTATCTCTGTACACCTGAGACTCTGCATGACCTGTTTCAGATGTAGTAGGTTTAAAGTTGCAGTTGGTTTTAGGAGATACACAAATGTCCCATACACCTAACGACTATGAAGATATTGTATACAAATAGGACGATCTTTTGTTAAAGATGAATTTCAAGTATTGCTTGCATGTGAGCGTTACTCAGCCCTATGGATGTGGAAAGGGTTTTGTTGCTTCTATTGTCTATGAGTGTTGAGATTGTGTTGTTTGTCCATGACAAGTAGTTATATAGGTCATCCATGACTGTCACGGTTGTGTTGGTTGAAAAAGACAAATGGCTGTTTTGGTCGTCCATGACTGACGGTTGTGTTGGTTGAATAAGACAAATGGCTGTTTTGGTCGTCCATGACTGACGGTTGTGTTTGTTGAATAAGACAAATGGCTGTTTTGGTCGTCCATGACTGATGGTTGTGTTGGTTGAATAACACAAATGGCTGTTTTGGTCGTCCATAAATGGCTGTTTTGGTCGTCCATGACTGTCACGGTTGTGTTTGTTGAATAAGACAAATGGCTGTTTTGGTCGTCCATGACTGACGGGTGTGTTTGTTGAAAAAGACAAATGGCTGTTTTGGTCGTCCATGACTGACGGTTGTGTTGGTTGAAAAAGACAAATGGCTGTTTTGGTCGTCCATGACTGTCACAGTTGTGTTGGTTGAATAAGACAAATGGCTGTTTTGGTCGTCCAGGACTGACGGTTGTGTTGCTTGAAAAAGACAAATGGCTGTTTTGGTCGTCCATGACTGACGGTTGTGTTGGTTGAAAAAGACAAATGGCTGTTTTGGTCGTCCATGACTGACGGTTGTGTTGGTTGAAAAAGACAAATGGCTGTTTTGGTCGTCCATGACTGTCACGGTTGTGTTTGTTGAAAAAGACAAATGGCTGTTTTGGTCGTCCATGACTGACGGTTGTGTTGGTTGAAAAAGACAAATGGCTGTTTTGGTCGTCCATGACTGTCACGGTTGTGTTGTTGAATAAGACAAATGGCTGTTTTTCCCTGACTTGCATGGTGTGTCAGTTGAATATGACAAAAAGACAAATGGCTGTTTTGATTCGTCCATGACTGACGGTTGTGTTTGTTGAAAAAGACAAATGGCTGTTTTGGTCGTCCATGACTGTCACGGTTGTGTTTGTTGAAAAAGACAAATGGCTGTTTTGGTCGTCCATGACTGACGGTTGTGTTGGTTGAAAAAGACAAATGGCTGTTTTGGTCGTCCATGACTGTCATGGTTGTGTTGGTTGAATAAGACAAATGGCTGTTTTGGTCGTCCCTGACTGACGGGTGTGTTGGTTGAATAACACAAATGGCTGTTTTGGTCGTCCATAAATGGCTGTTTTGGTCGTCCATGACTGACGGTTGTGTTTGTTGAATAAGACAAATGGCTGTTTTGGTCGTCCATGACTGACGGTTGTGTTGGTTGAATAACACAAATAGCTGTATTGTTCGTCCATAAATGGCTGTTTTGGTTGTCCATGACTGTCACGGTTGTGTTGGTTGAAAAAGACAAATGGCTGTTTTGGTCGTCCATGACTGACGGTTGTGTTGGTTGAAAAAGACAAATGGCTGTTTGGTCATCCATAAATGGCTGTTTTGGTTGTCCATGACTGTCACGGTTGTGTTGGTTGAATAACACAAATGGCTGTTTTGGTCGTCTATGAATGGCTGTTTTGGTTGTCCATGACTGTGACGGTTGTGTTTGTTGAATAACACAAATGGCTGTTTTGGTCGTTCATGACTGTCACGGTTGTGTTGGTTGAATAACACAAATGGCTGTTTTGGTCGTCCATAAATAACTGTTTTGGTCGTCCATGACTGTGACGGTTTTGTTGGTTGAATAACACAAATGGCTGTTTTGGTCGTCCATAAATGGCTGTTTTGGTCGTCCATGACTGTGACGGTTGTGTTGGTTGAATAACACAAATGGCTGTTTTGGTCATCCATAAATGGCTGTTTTGGTTGTCCATGACTGTAACGGTTGTGTTGGTTGAATAACACAAATGGCTGTTTTGGTCATCCATAAATGGCTGTTTTGGTTGTCCATGACTGTAACGGTTGTGTTGGTTGAATAACACAAATGGCTGTTTTGGTCATCCATAAATGGCTGTTTTGGTTGTCCATGACTGTGACGGTTGTGTTGGTTGAATAACACAAATGGCTGTTTTGGTCATCCATAAATGGCTGTTTTGGTTGTCCATGACTGTAACGGTTGTGTTGGTTGAATAACACAAATGGCTGTTTTGGTCGTCCATGACTGTCGTGATTGTGTTGGTGGTGTATGACTGTAATGATTGTGCATGAGTTTCATGCTGTGTTCGATGTTCGTGTGTCTCTGGACACAAGTGTGCCAACCTTCCGACCCGTTTAGTCGCATCACAAGACTAGCATAGCTGAGGACCAATTCTAACACATAATCGAACACCACCAACAACAGGGGATTCCTTGCATCGTCTATAGATAACCAGCAACCTTTGCTTGGAAGAGATGACAGGGTGGTCTGACTCAGTAGCGTAGATTCCATTCCAGCTGTTTGACTGGCTGATCATGAACGTCCTATCTCCACCTGGAAAGCGTGGGTTCGAATCCCGGATGAGATCCAACATCAAACGTGCTGGTGTTTCTACTTTTCTAAGAAGGTATTGTCCCACATATAACACTTATTACATCTGACCCTTCTCTAAATGACAGTATTCATAACTTTCGGCTATGCGAGAAGTACAAACTTACCCTTGTGGGAGGGAACACAAAGATGGTGATGTTGACCCTAAAACTACGACGCTTGTTACATTTACCGATCTACTTCATGTACCTGGATTAATGCTGAGTGCAGAGACAAAGAAAGAAAGAAAGAAGCAAATGGTATTTGCATAAAATAGAGATACTGATGAAACAATACGAACATATATCCCAACAAAGCAATTTATTGTTGTTTCGTGGTACAGGCAAAGGGAAGACCATTTGATCCAATGTAAGAAGGATGGTGGTGTTTTTCGGAGGAGAGTCGGGCGAGTTCATGTTGGGATACAAAACTACTGTTCCTTGTTGAGGATCCCCGTTTTCATTTGACAATGAGTAGAGCTAACATTTGAATGTATATTTTACATGAGCCTCCAACCTGGAATAGGACACCGCCCGGTTTATCTTCATGGTGACACCTCTGGGTATTGGTCAAGACAAATTAAAATATCAGAAATATATCAGTATTTTGCAACAACGACGCTCCCCCCAAAAAACCCCCAACAACAACAAACAAAAACAAAAACAACAACAACAAAAACACAAAACAACAAAAACCCAAAACAAAACAAAACACAAAACCCAAAAAATAGATACATATAATAAACAACAACAAAACACACGCACCCACGCACAGCAAGCACACACACACACACACACACACACACACACAACCAACAAACCCCCACAAAACCCCCAAAACAACAACAAAAAACAAACAAACAAAAAACCCAGAAGAACAATCAAAACAAAACAAACCAGAACCAAAAAAACAACAAAAGCAACAACAAACAAACGAGAAAAAAACCCCACTAAACAAAACCGGCCACAGGTAATTAAGACCGATCTCAAACCAAGATGTTACTGCTGCCACATGAACCTCATCCCCTGTTAAATGGTCTACTCGTACCCTGGTAACGGGACTACCATTTGGGTAAGCGTGTCTGGAGCTCGGGATGTAAACTTCGCATACCAGTAAGCTTCATTGTAATACATGTACAAATAGTCAATATCTTTGTCGCCCCATGTCTTGAAGAACGAGATCAGCCTCTGGGCCAAGACTGGGTCTCCGTCAACGCCGAATATCTCCGTGTGGTTGCCCAGGTATTCAGGCATATATGTGTAGGCGATGGCCAGGTCGTAGGTTGGTTGAAAGTCGGGATAGAATCTCACGCCGAGATCATAAAGGGCTTGAAATGCCCGCTGAACAAAGCTGCCACAGTCCCAGGACTCCGTCCAGTAGGGACCATCTGGAATGAAGTGTTGGTCTGTTTAGTATCACGCCCCAGAAAACATCCATTTTAGTGTTTTCATAGAGTCTGTTTAATGTATGAGGTATCGCTAAGGTTTAAGACGTAGATGTTGATAAAGTCTGTTGAGAGAATAAGGGTTCTGGCGAATAATGTCCCGACGTATAACTAGCTCAGACAATTAAGTTGAAGTATAATACAATGTGATTTTTCAGACTTGTACAGCAACGACCATTTAGTGGAAAATAGTACATTTAATTACTTGTGTTTTACACATCCTACAACTATATTTTATGCAGTGATTCCTGCGGCTCTCGGGGGCGGTGGTGTAAGCTAGTGGTTAAAGCGTTCGCTCGTCACGCCGAAGATCCGGGTTCGACTCCCCATATGGGTGCACTGTGTGAGGCGCATTTCTGATGTTGTCCGCCCTGATATTGCTAAAATATTGCAAAAAGCGGCGTAAAACTATAACCCACGTAGACATGGGACTCTCCGATATAACTCCGAAGAGAATCGCAGTAGGCTTTTCCAGGCGGACCACGTGATCAGTCCACCGGCGAGGGGCTTGGAGAACCATAGTCTTGTTCGTTACTTTAGTCTGCTATCTGATGCCCATATAGTAAGGTGTTGTTGTATGCTAATTTGGCCCCTCACCATTATCTATATCTCCTGGACTCGCGTTTCTGTAAACTTACAATAACCCCTGGATCCACTCCGTGGTTCTGGAGATCCGTGAAGATCCGGGTTAGAAATAATCTTCAGCAGCCCATGCTTGTCGTAAGAGGCGACTAACGGGATCGGGTGGTCAGGCTCACTGACTAGGTTGACACATGTCATCGTATCTTAATTGCGTAGATCGATGTTCATGCAGTTAATCCCTGGATTGTCTGGTCCAGACTCGATTATTTACAGACCGCCGCCATATAGCTGGAACATTGCTGAGTGCGGTGTTAGACAACAAACCAACCAAACCAAAACGTAGTTCTTGCGATCGTACATTATCCACTGCTGATGTTAATTTTCAGTTAAAGCAATTTGCAGAAAATGCAAGGACAACACGTCAGTTAAGGTAACGCGTATTACCAAGAAAACCAAGACAGCGCTTGTCTTAATGGACATGATGATGACATGTATCTGATATATATGAAAGTAAGAATCACCAGGAATTATGTAGTCAAGAACAGAATCGGAATCAAGGCGCTTCAAATACTTTCTCACAGAAATTCAACCCCTGATGGTAGAGGATGCCCCCCAACTTACCTCTGGAACGCATCAGATGTGCCGTGTCGCCATAGATACCAGTACTGTTGTCCCACGTGACCCAGTGTGAGAAAGCATTGAGGAGTTTGCCTGAAACGATATTTCTATTAGAAAATAAATAGAATGAGATATTAAGTAGAAAATAAGTGAATATATTATGCTTCAACACTAACACAATCGGATCATTCGGAACTAACAAACAATTCTCTGGGAAGTAACATTTCATGCTGTATGCGCAATTTGACTTTTTTCTGAGCAAATGAATCTTGGTGAATCTTGTGGACCTACCGGTTGTCTTCGCCACCGGATGGCGTACTGCTTTTGGCCCTTGGAAGAAGCTGCTGAAGTTGGAACTGAAGCACGATGCGCCCTGGTTACACCAGAGGAACGAATCATCTTCCAGCACCGCGGGTCGGGAGCAGTTTATGATGCTGAACATATGGGCCCAGTCCAAGGTGTAGTAGAAGCCAGTGTTGAGGTTGTGCAGGCCAATGCCGGCGTGATGCGGCATCTAAAGTGAATTAGCGAAAACGTGAGTTGGTTTGGTTTCATACTCAGATGTCTGCGTTTGCTGAGGTTGGTTTGCTGTTCTCAACAATAGTCCAGCTATATGGCAGCGTTCTGTTCTTTTGCAAATCCTGCTATCTACCGAAATCTGCAGGGATGCCGAAATCTAAAGGACAGTTTAATTACCAAGCAAATGTTGATTTCTGAAGGGGGCTTTGCTTAGACTGCATAGACTCGGGAAGATGGGTGACACATTCACTACATATTGTAATCACATGACCCGACGTTTTCAGCCGCTGCTCAAATACTTCTTTGCGCGAAGGAGGGGTCAAACAATTTCTCTTTGGACCCACAACACATTAGTTTTTAATTCTTCAACACTTTGCTGAACACTTTACCCCGTGAATATAAAACGGCCTCCCACAACTTTCTCCCGGAAAGGGGATCGTGGTTTTACCTGGTGTTGGGTGCTTACGCAGAAGAATTGATCTTCAGTAACCCTTGCTTGTCGTAAGAGGCGACTAACGGAATCGGGTGGTCGATGCTCATGATGTTGATCACTGAATTGTCTGGTCCAGACTCGATTATTTACAGACCGCCGCCATAAAGCTGGAATATTACTGACTGCGGCATAAAACTAAACTCACTCACTCACTTATGCAGAAGAGCTGTTAAATATACATATGTGGTGTTCATACATCCTTCACAGATTGGGTACAAGGTGTGAATCCCAGTTCTGGTGTCCCCCACCGTGATGTTGCTGGAATATTGCTAAAAGCGGCGTAAAACCAAACTCAGTCAGTCAGTCAGTCAGTCCTTCACAGATGTTCTATAGATAGATGACGTTTAGGCGCTGGACACATCGGATCTGTTCTGTTTCTCTTGGTGATGCATTTCTGTCTCCAATCGGAATTAATATGGTACCTATTCTCACCACTTTGTCGATAGATGGAACGCGTCTTCCACTTCCCCTCATGCTGTAGATCACTATGGTGTCGTCGTCATCAAAAGTCACCATCGGCACTCCGTCGGAACAGAAGTGTTTGTCCTGTGGGTTTTTACAGCGAGGATCCACTGGTGGTCTACTTTTAAAGCGTCTGGAAATATTAAAAAAGTGAACATGGTTAAAAAGGTTTGTTTGCGTGTTATTTATTACCGCACTAAGCAATATACCAGTGTTGTGATGGAGTCCTGTAAATATATTCGTATATATCTTTGACGCGTCAAAGAAACAGTCGATCCTTTTCAGTGTGGACACCGTTAGTCCTCGTTCCAAGCCGATGTAGGACGTGCAGAGTTACTCATTAACAATGATTCGAGAATCCGATAAATATGTTTTGACAGACCAGTCGACGCACCCCTGTTTAGATGCCACATTCCCATGAGCCCATGTTCTTGCATAACAAAGCATGACCTACAAACGACTAAAGTGGTCCTCGGTAATTCGGTTAGAAGTAACTGAACTGTTGAAACGTTGACGTAACGTGTGTGTCGTATGTTGTATATGTTGTACATATTATGCATATTTATTTTGCATATGGGCCTATGTCCTTCATGAACTAAACTGATTGATTGATCAGGAGAATTTACAGTGAATTGTACCGTTCGGAATAGCGAAATAGTAAATAGTTTCATCTTAAAGTTCTAAACAAGCGAAGAAGATAACACTCTACTATAACAATGGTTTGAAAAGAAAACTTTCTACTCCCGACACCGATTATACATCCCGGCACCGTGTCTTTAGCTTTGGCGGTACTCCCCTACTCCCTTGGAAATTAGCTCTCCAGGGAAATCCGAAATATACATTTTAGCCTTCCCGGGACAACGAAAAAATAAATTTTAGCCTTCCCGGCACGACACCTTTCAGAACAACGACTCATGTTTATCTCACCTATGTGGCATAACATAGTCAAAACTCCCAGCCTCGACTGTCGTCCAAATGATTCCATGAGAAAACAGTATCAGAGCTGTCAGCAACATTGTCGATATGAAGATGCAAGGTGACTGACTTTGTTATGTTTCTGTTGAAACAAACAACTCATATATAGTTGGAAGGGATATGAAAGGGAAATTAAATATTAGTTAATTAGTTCACGGGGCACTTCTCCAATCTGTTGACCCGAACACGCCACTGCATGGGTTTATAGGGCTGAATGATAACGTGAGCCTCACATATAATAATGATACAGAAACAGTTTGCTGTCGTCACTGCATGATCCCCCGGAGAGTTGCTTGTAGTGACCCGGGCACAACAGTGCGTGACCACGTGATCATGTTGTGGTGTAGTTAGGTCCATGTAAATTCCTATTTTTTTCAGTAATGTCATTGTAAATATTTTGTTGTCGACGTTACATGATGTCATACGGTTTTAATCTCGGAAACTTACCTATCAATTGGGAAAATTGTTTCTTGTTACAAGATAGTAAAATAAACAGGTATCTGTGAGCTTTGCTTAATCTCTATGAAAACAGATCTTCTTCAATAGTTCTGATTTAATAAAATTGTCACAATGTCACGTTGCATCAGTGACATTGTTTAACATGATTTACACTGTTCTGTTTGTCGTCTGTCAGTGACATTGTTCTGCTCGAAATTTATTAGTGACATTGTCAGTGACATTGTTGTGTTGGTTGTCTATCATTTACATTCCCCTATATGTCGTCTGTCTGTGACATTGTTGTGTTGTTTGTCTGTCATTAACATTCCCCTATATGTCGTCTGTCTGTGACATTGTTGCGTTGGTTGTCTATCATTTACATTCCCCTATATATCGTCTGTGTGACATTGTTGTGTTGGTTGTCTATCCTTTACATTCCCCTCTATGTCGTTTGTCTGTGACATTGTTGCGTTGGTTGTCTATCATTTACATTCCCCTATATATCGTCTGTGTGTGACATTGTTGTGTTGGATGTGTATCCTTTACATTCCCCTATATATCGTCTGTCGGGGACATTGTTGCGTTGGTTGTCTATCATTTACATTCCCCTATATATCGTCTGTCTGTGACATTGTTGTGTTGTTTGTCTATCATTTACATTCCCCTGTATGTTGTCTGTCTGTGACATTGTTGTGTTGGTTGTCTATCATTTACATTCCCCTATATATCGTCTGTCTGTGACATTGTTGCGTTGGTTGTCTATCATTTACATTCCCCTATATATCGTCTGTGTGTGACATTGTTGTGTTGGTTGTCTATCATTTACATTCCCCTCTATGTCGTTTGTCGGGGACATTGTTGCGTTGGTTGTCTACCATTTACATTCCCCTATATATCGTCTGTGTGTGACATTGTTGTGTTGGTTGTCTATCATTTACATTCCCCTATATGTCGTCTGTCGGGGACATTGTTGCGTTGGTTGTCTATCATTTACATTCCCCTATATATCGTCTGTGTGTGACATTGTTGCGTTGGTTGTCTATCATTTACATTCCCCTAGATATCGTCTGTCGGGGACATTGTTGCGTTGGTTGTCTATCATTTACATTCCCCTATATATCGTCTGTGTGTGACATTGTTGTGTTGGTTGTCTATCCTTTACATTCCCCTATATATCGTCTGTCTGTGACATTGTTGTGTTGGTTGTCTATCGTTTACATTCCCCTATATGTCGTCTGTCGGGGACATTGTTGCGTTGGTTGTCTATCATTTACATTCCCCTATATATCGTATGTGTGTGACATTGTTGCGTTGGTTGTCTATCATTTACATTCCCCTATATATCGTCTGTGTGTGACATTGTTGCGTTGGTTGTCTATCATTTACATTCCCCTATATATCGTCTGTCGGGGACATTGTTGCGTTGGTTGTCTATCATTTACATTCCCCTATATATCGTCTGTGTGTGACATTGTTGTGTTGGTTGTCTATCCTTTACATTCCCCTATATATCGTCTGTCTGTGAACATTGTTGTGTTGGTTGTCTATCATTTACACTCCCCTATGTGTCGTCTGTCTGTGACATTGTTGTGTTGGATGTCTATCATTTACATTCCCCTATATATCGTCTGTCTGTGACATTGTTGTGTTGGTTGTCTATCATTTACATTCCCCTATATGTCGTCTGTCTGTGACATTGTTGTGTTGTTTGTCTATCATTTACATTCCCCTATATATCGTCTGTGTGTGACATTGTTGCGTTGGTTGTCTATCATTTACATTCCCCTATATATCGTCTGTGTGTGACATTGTTGTGTTGGTTGTCTATCATTTACATTCCCCTATTTGTCGTCTGTCTGTGAACATTGTTGTGTTGGTTGTCTATCATTTACACTCCCCTATATGTCGTCTGTCTGTGACATTGTTGTGTTGGATGTCTATCATTTACATTCCCCTATATATCGTCTGTGTGTGACATTGTTGTGTTGGTTGTCTATCATTTACATTCCCCTATATATCGTCTGTCTGTGACATTTTTGTGTTGTTTGTCTATCATTTACATTCCCCTATATGTCGTCTGTCTGTGACATTGTTGCGTTGGTTGTCTATCATTTACATTCCCCTATATATCGTCTGTGTGTGACATTGTTGTGTTGGTTGTCTATCATTTACATTCCCCTATTTGTCGTCTGTCTGTGAACATTGTTGTGTTGGTTGTCTATCATTTACACTCCCCTATATGTCGTCTGTCTGTGACATTGTTGTGTTGGATGTCTATCATTTACATTCCCCTATATATCGTCTGTCTGTGACATTGTTGTGTTGGTTGTCTATCATTTACATTCCCCTATATGTCGTCTGTCTGTGACATTTTTGTGTTGTTTGTCTATCATTTACATTCCCCTATTTGTGGTCTGTCTGTGACATTGTTGTGTTGGTTGTCTATCATTTACTTTCCCCTATATGTCGTCTGTCTGTGACATTGTTGTGTTAGTTGTCTATCATTTACATTCCCCTATTTGTCGTCTGTCTGTGACATTGGTGTGAAGGTTGTCTATCATTTACATTCCCCTATTTGTCGTCTGTCGGCGACATTGTTGTGTTGGTTGTCTATCATTTACATTCCCCTATTTGTCGTCTGTCGGCGACATTGTTGTGTTGGTTGTCTATCATTTACATTCCCCTATTTGTCATCTGTCGGGGACATTGTTGTGTTGGTTGTCTATAATTTACATTGCCCAGTATGTCCTCTGTCAGTGACATTGCTCTATTTGTCGTCTGTCTGTGACATTGTTGTGTTGGTTGTCTATCATTTACATTGCCCAATATGTCCTCTGTCAGTGACATTGCTCTATTTTTCGTCTGTCTGTGACATTGTTGTGTTGGTTGTCTATCATTTACATTGCTCTATATCTATGCCGTTTATTATTGGCATAGCTGCGTTGATAGTTTAAGACTTTCATGGTCACATGTTTGATTAAAAACCTATAATTGTACTGGTTGTCCATCACTGTTATGGCTGTGCTGGTTGTTTATGATTGTCACGATTATGTTGGTTGTGTTTAATAGTTGCGATAGTTGTCCAAGACAAATGACTGTATTTGACTCTCATAGTTGTTGTGTTTGCCTTTTACTGCCATGGTTGCTTGGATGTCCACGATTCCCATCGTTATGTTGCTTATTCATGACCAATGGCTGTGCTCTATGTCAATGACTGCCTTAGTTGTGTTGGTTGCCTATGGTTACCGTTGTTGTGTTACTTGTTTATAATTGTTATGTCTGTGTTTGTTACCCATGACTACCATGGCTGTCCAAGACCAATGGTTGAGCTCCTTGTCCCGATTGTGTTTGTTATCCACCTCTGTCACCTCTGTCACGGTTGCGGTTGCGTTGCGTTGACTGTTCATTTCTAAGGGCTGTGTTGGTTGTCTATGACTACCATGGTAGTGACGAATGATAATGGTGGTTGTCCGTGATGGTCATTGATGTGCTTCTGTGTTTCGCTTTGTTGTAAGCTTGTAGACACTCTTTTGGACACAATTGTGTACTAACCGCCCGACCCCTTCAGTCACCTCACAGGACAAGTATAGCTGGGGACCAATTCTAAAGCAAAATTGAAAACACCAACCACGCTGGATGTAGGAAAAAAAGACACAGGAAAAAACGTATGTGAGGAAATGTGATAAGTAACTGTGATTCATGATTGATCCTCTGTGAGGAACTGTGATTAGTACCTGTGATTCATGATTGACCCTCTGTCAGGAACTGTGATTCATGATTGATCCTCTGTGAGGAACTGTGCTTAATAACTGTGATAATGATTGATACTCTGTGAGGAACAGTGATCAGTAACTGTGATTTATGAATGATCCTCTGTAAGGAACTGTGATTCATGATTGATCATCTGTGAGGAACTGTGCTTAGTACCTGTGATTCATGATTGATCCTCTGTGAGGAACTGTGATCAGTAACTGTGATTGATGAATGATCCTCTGTAAGGAACTGTGATTCATGGTTAATCATCTGTGAGGAACTGTGCTTAGTAACTGTGATTCATGATTGATCCTCTGTGAGGAACTGTGCTTAGTACCTGTGATTCATGATTGATCCTCTGTGAGGAACTGTGATCAGTAACTGTGATTTATGATTGACCCTCTGTCAGGAGCTGTGATTCATGATTGATCCTCTGTGAGGAACTGTGCTTAATAACTGTGATAATGATTGATCCTCTGTGAGGACCTGTTATCAGTAACTGTGATTTATGATTGGTCCTATGTTAGGAACTGTGATTCATGATTGATCATTTGTGAGGAACTGTGCTTAGTACCTGTGATTCATGATTGATCCTCTGTGAGGAACTGTGATCAGTAACTGTGATTTATGAATGATCCTCTGTAAGGAACTGTGATTCATGGTTAATCATCTGTGAGGAACTGTGCTTAGTAACTGTGATTCATGATTGATACTCTGTGAGGAACCGTCATCAGTAACTGTGATTCATGATTGGTCCTCTGTGAGGATATGTGAGTGAGTGAGTGAGTTATTATTTAACGTCACATCGGCAATATTTCAGCCATATCGTGACGAGAACAGAAATAGCATATATATAGAGATTATAAAACCTGCCGACGAAGGACAGTATGAGGATATGTGATCAGTAACTGTGATTCATGACTGATCCTCTGTGAGGAACTGATTTATGATTCATTCTGTGATTTATGATCATAATTAAACATATTAAACAGATACTATACAATTATTGTGACTTTTCTTCCTGTGACTTTTTTCCTTGCCAAAATTGTGACTTATCCGTGACTTTTTTCCCTGTGACTTTCTTTCCGATGACCACCCCACTACCCACAGCAGACGAACCGGCGATGATTCGTGGCAGATACCCAGCAACCTATGCTTAAATGGTCACGATTAAAATGGGTCGCGGGGAACGCCAGCAATTCAATCACATGAGTGTCTGTTCCGGAATGGCTTATTATCGGATGTGATTTCGGATCATACTGAACCTCAAACACACCAGATTGTGTACTTCTCTAAGAATTTGTGGTCCCAATCATAACACTTGTCACATTTACTTGTTTCCAATTTTCCGAATGACGTTTAGTGGAATGATCGGAGGATGAATGTGTTAGATTGCTGTGTTAGAGGGGAGGCGATTGGGTGCCTCAGTTTTAAGGGGGTGGATTTAAATCAATGGTGAGACCCCCAAACCAAAGTACCATAAATGTGTAATTCCAAATATAAGGTTCAATCGTCTTCATATATCTGAATTATTCTGTCCACAATCAAACACTAAGACGGCAATGATGCTTGCTTCATATGACACTGATTAAAAACAAAGCATAAATATATCCCATCAAAGCATTTTATTGGTGTTCCATGAAATGTTGAACGGCAAACTCCAAACTGTTCAATTGACCGTCTTGGAATCGGCCTTGACGAACGTCGATATATAATACAGACAAATGGAAGACCATTTGGTTGAATGCAAGGAGAAGATTGAGTGAGTGAGCTAGGCGTTATGCAGCTTTTAGCACTATTCCATCAATATCACGGCGGGGGGACGTCAGAAAGTTAATTCTTTGTTAAATGGTCTACTCATATCCTGGTAAGGGAACTATCATTTTGGTAAGCGCGTCTGGAGGTTGGGATGTCAGCTTAGCATGCCAATACGCTTCATTGAAATACAGATACATATGGTGATGGTCTTTCTGGCGCAAATGCTTGAAATACGAAATCAGCCTCTGGGCCAAGACTGGGTCTCCATCAGCGCCGAATATCTCCGTGTGGTTGCCCAGATATTCAGGCCTATGTGTGTAGGCGATGGCCAGATCGTAGGTTGGTTGAAAGTCGGGATAGAATCTCACGCCGAGATCATAGAGTGCTTGAAATGCCCGCTGAACAAAGCTGCCACAGGTCCAGGTGTCCGTCCAGTAGGGGCCATCTAGAATGAAATGTAGGTGTGATTAGTGCCATGTCCAATAAAAACACATAGTTTGGTTTTTTATTACGTCGCACTCAGCAACATTCCAGCTCCTTTGCAGCAGTCAGTAAATAATGAAGTCTGGACCAGAAAACCCAGTGATAAACAGCATGAACATCGATCTACGCAATTTGGATACGATGACATGTGCCAACCAAGTCAGCAAGCCTGACCACCCGATTCCGTTAGTGGTCTCTACGACAAGCATGGGTTACTGAAGACCAATTCTAACCCGGATTTTCACGGGTCAGCTCATCTGTGAATCGTGGTAGGTCATGCAAATCGATTTTAAAGGGCATACTTTTGCGTATTGTACTCGCCATCTGATTGGTTATACCTAGTAGCGTAGCTAATCAAATTGACAAACAGAAATCAAATAAAGGTAACTTGAGATTGTTAGAACCACGTGAATGGATCTACGGCTTAGAGTAGGATGATGCTCACCTCTGGAACGCATCAGATATGCCGTGTCGCCATAGATACCAGTATTGTTGTCCCACGTGACCCAGTGGGAGAAAGCACTGATGATTTTGCCTGAAAAGATGTTTCCATTAAAACATTAATCAGGTGAGATAATGAAAAGAATATAACTGGACTTATTCCACCCCTTCACTCACTCATTTTCAGGCAGAAAACCAACACATATTGGCACATTATTTATAAGCAATACATCCTTACCTGAGAATATAGTATTTACCACTTCCTCAGTGGTGATGAAGACCACGTCATTCGTCAGTTATCGCCAAAACCCGGAGAGTTAATATGCTGATGAGGGTCAGGTAACAGAGGTACCATAAGTCACCATAATGGTGATCTACGTTAAGTTGATGGCTATCTGAAGCCTTTTTCTGTTTTGAATAGTGCAGTCGCAGTTATGACCTTTTAATGTCCTAATGCTAGTGTATATATATCAACTTTACGAAGATCACCATAATGGTGACTTTGGGGACTTATGGTGCCTCTGTTTGATTGCGATCTGTTTGGTTGTAACATAATGGTGATCTACGTTAAGTTGATTGCTATCTGAAGCCTTTTTCTGTTTTGAATAGTGCAGTCGCAGTTATGACCTTTTAATGTCCTTATGCTAGTGTATATATATCAACTTAACGATGATCACCATAATGGTGACTTTGGGGAATTATGGTGCCTCTGTTTGATTGCGATATGTTTGGTTGTAACATAATGGTGATCTACGTTAAGTTGATTGCTATCTGAAGCCTTTTTCTGTTTTGAATAGTGCAGTCGCAATTATGACCTTTTAATGTCCTTATGCTAGTGTATATATATCAACTTAACGAAGATCACCATAATGGTTACTTTGGGGACTTATGGTGCCTCTGTTTGATTGTGATCTGTTTGGTTGGCACCATAATGGTGAGTTGAGAGGAAGGTGATTACTTAATGGATGACGTCTTCTGTATCATATTATGATGTCACTTTTCAGTAAAAGGTCGTATATCTCACTAAGGCGGCTGTGATGGTCTAGTTACAGACATAATCGTAGTTTCTCGCAGTGCCTCATTAACTAAGCAGGTATGGGTGACAGTATCGGCGCTATGGTGAATCTCATGGACCTACCAGTTGTCTTCGCCACCGGGTGGCGCTCTGTTCCTGGTCCCCGGAAGTAGCCGGTAAAGTTGTTACTGAAACACGACGCGCCTTGGTTACACCAGAGCAACGAATCATCCTCCAGCACCGTGGGTCGGCTCCAGTTCAGAACGCCGAACAGAGGGGACCAGTCCAAGGTGTAGTTGAAGCCAGTGTTGAGGTTGTGCAGGCCCATGCCGGCGTGATGAGGCATCTAAAGTGAATTAGCGAGTAAGTGTGTGAGTTGGTTTGGTTTCAAACCGTGCTTAGATCAGTGTGTGTTATCTGAACAGGATAGATTGGCCACTGTCAATCATGTGTAGCATCTGGGTACAGTGCTTTCCCCGATACAAGGTGGTTTACTGGCAATAGAATACCAGTTTGTATCCGTGTCGAACTTTTCGAATTTCGTGTTCGTTCGTAGCGCCACCAATGGCGCGTTGCTACTTATGCCCCTTTTATGTCCTTCCTATTAACAACTCAGATTTCACCTGTCATGTTACTTGCATATTGGTCTAACAAAATGGCGGCTCCCAGTCAAGACGGTCCGATCGAAAATCAAGATCTACAGACTGTATATTGTAATGAAACGCGTATTACTTTGCGAAGTGCATCAACTTACTTTAGCACCTTGATTAAAAACATGAAAAATGGGAAAATATCTGTCGACACCTCGTTGACGGGATTCATGTTTTGCAAATCGTGAGGATGTTCAGGGGTCGCGTGTGCCTATGAGTGAGTGAGTTTTAGTTTTACGCCGCACCCAGCAATATTCCAGCTATACCGGGGCGGGCTTAGGATAGAGTCGACTAACCAATAGTTGCTATCACCGATGAGTAACATCTGGATACAGAATTGGTGGTTCGATCGGCCCTTCTTTGTCCTTCCTACTGACCAATCAGATTTCACTTATCATAGTACTTGTATTTGCTTCCAACAAATGACGGTCTTGATGTATATTGGAATGAAACGAGTATTACCTTGCTAAGTGCATCAAATAATGTCAACACCTTGATTAATAACATGAACAAAATGACAAAATATCTGTCGACGTCCATTTGACGGGGCAAATGTTTTCCAATTCTGCTATCAACCGAAATCTGCAGGGATGTCTATTTCGTTTGGTGGCTTAGCTTGGACTATGCATAGACCCGTTAATCCAGCCAGAACATAACTTTCATGAAGGTCAAGCGAAATTCGGCAATGGTGGAAGATGGACTTCCCCTTGCCTCGGGAAGATGGGTGACACACTATCGGTGAATATTGTAAACGTCTGGCTCAACGTTTTCAATCGTTTACATAGTGTCGGGTTAAGCGTGAGTGAGTGAGTTTTACGCCGCACTCAGCAATATTCCAGCTGCATGGAGGCGGTCTGTAAATAATCGAGTCTGGACCAGACAATCCAGTGATCAACAGCATGAGCATCGATCTTCGCAATTGGGAACCGATGACATGTGTCAACCAAGTCAGCGATCCTGACCACCCGATCCCGATCGCCTTTTATGACAAGCATGGGTTGCTGAAGACCAATTCCACCCCGGATCTTCACGGGTGGTGGGGTAAGAAGAGACGGGAGGTGTACATGCGAGCTAAGTGTCATTGAGTATACCCCCTTTACAGAGGCTGTATAGACACAGGACGTTTAGGCGCTGGACACTCAGAATCTGTCCTGTTTTTTTGTGGATGATGTAATACTGTCCCCAAAACTATTTGCAAGAGGGTTAATCAACAATTAATGCAGTGTTCTCACCATTCTGTCGGTGCCTGGGGTATGGCTTCCACTTCCACTCATGCTGTAGATCACTATGATGTCGTCGTCATCAAACGTCGCCATCGGCTCTCCGCCGAAACAGAAGTGTTTTCCCTGTGCATTTTGACAGCGAGGATCCGATTGTGGTCTGCTTTCAAAGCGTCTGGAAATATTGAACCTGCATCAGCATGGTCAAGAGGTTTGTTTACTTAAGTATTATTTTATCAGTAAATTATCGAGTCAATCGAAAACTCTTTCGGGGTTATATCATCACTATTACTGGCCACCTGATCAGTAATGGTTTCTGGTGACCTGTATTGTAACCCGGATGTTTAACAGGATGAGGGTGGGTTTATAGGTAGGGCTTGGACGACAAAATAAAGGACCGTTCATAATTTATGGCTTAGGTGTGTGTGTGTGTGTGCGCGTGCGTGCGAGCGTGCGTGCGTGCGTGTGTTGTTGGTGAACGGTCCCTAAGATACTTATAAAATAATCGATTCCCTTCTGTTGATTAGTAAGTCCGATGACCTCCTATTTCATGAGGCAAATAATATATATATTAATAATCACGGATAACCCAAGCTGCTTGTGAGGTGCCAGAGGGTTAATAGTCACATGACATTTCCCACCTGGTACCTATTTTCTGCTGGGTGAACAGAGGCAATTTTGAACAAACTCACTTGCCTAAGGTGAGACCATATGTATCACACGTGCTGTTGTAGGGCAGAACTGAAGTTCCAAGAAACTCTTAGGAGTCAAGCTGCCAATGGTCACCCATCCAAGAATTCTCCGCGCCCAACGATGCTTATCTTCAACTGATTTGTGAATTTGTGAGAGAGGAGTACTATTTGATAAAAGTCTATTGCAACGAGTTGTTTAAAATATACGACTGAAGCAAGACAAAAGTAACATTTTTTGTTACCCACCCTAAACTCAGGCCTTCAAATGTATGGATACTTAGCCTAATATCCTTATGGCAGTAGCGCTTGAATACATAAAACAAAGTTCTTGAATGACATCACCCAGCTTCCTGCTTAATACTGATACGTACTGCGACTACCACAAAAAGATTTCAGACATGTCTGTAAATTGGCAAGGCAATGATGATAGTAATGGTGGAAACTAGACATGGTAGGTAGGTCAGGACACTTAGCGAAACCTTAGTACTTCCGGTGACAAACTACGTTTCATACCTTTTGGAATGGTCTCATGGTTGCCATGTTTGTCGCAAACATGTCCAAGTAACAGTAAAACCTCGTTATCGTGGACATGGTTCGTCCTCGTTTTCAGGACGATATAGGACATACAGAATTACTGTTTAACTCGAAAATATGTCTTTGATAGCCCAGTCGAAACACCCCTGTGTGAGATGACACATCCGAGCATGAACCCAGTTCTTCCATAACAAAACAGGACACACAAACACCACCACTGGACTGGTTCCCGGTAATCCGGTTATCCGAAACATGAAAGTGAACGTAAACGCTGATCGGGACAATTTACAGTGAACTGTACTGTTCGGAAGAACGCGGTTTCATTGCAAACTGTTTTAGAACAACGACTCATGTTTATCTCACCTGTGTGGTATAACATAGTCAAAACTCCCAGCCTCGGCTGTCGTCCAAAAGATTTCATGAGAAAACAGTATCAGAGCTGTCAGCAACATTGTCGATGCCGGGCCACAGTAAATTTTGCAATATTGCTATTAAAACACAGAACCCTTTTATAGGTAGTACATATGTATAAGGGTAATTAAATATGAATGTAATTAGTTCGCCGGACACATCCCACCATGCAGAGCTGCTTGAGTTGACCTGGGCACATCACTGCATGGGTTAATACGAGGGGTGAGTAATAACGTGAACCTCACATATAATAATGATAGAGAAATTGTTTGTTGTGGACATTTTATGATGCTGAAAACCAAGAAGAATTCGATCTTTTACTTCCGCAGCCCAGTGAGCCTTCCTTCGGTAATTATACAAACCATACTGGAGATGGGACTTGCCCCAGGGGAAGGCACAGATGGTCAAACCATCTAAAAACCACACTAATTGAGTGTGCAAAAGCGACAGGATGGCCTGAAAATCCACGCGTCAATGGCAAAAATCGCTTAAGCTGCATTGGGAAAATACAATGTCAATGTATGCTTACCCGACGGAGCAAAATCTCCGGGACCAACTCTGGCAACTTAAGCTTCACATGCGCCGTGAGCCAGTTGAACCCACAACTGGTGCCCGTCAGGAACCTTTGCATGAGCAGAATGCTCAAGTAGCTGCAGACTCAAAACTCCTTATGGACGTCTGCGGCAACCTCTTTCCTCTTTCTGATGAAAACTGTTCCGGCATAGAGCCAGTTGGCCTCGAAATTTCTGACCCTCACTCTTCTTCTTCCTCAGGTAAAAATCCAGTTTACATTTTGATTAACTCAATTTATTATTTGTGATTTACCTTTAACAAATGGAGGCAAATTAAAGAACTAAAATGTTTTTTCCCAAAAATGAAATTGATTTATTTAATGAAGCTATTTCCCTAAAACTTTCTGCGGACTGTTCGTTACATGAAGTTAATTGTTGTGTCTATGCTGCCGCTCGAACTCTAAAGGAACTTCACATCTAATATCTATTGATGATAACAAAAGACCAAAGAAAAAACGGTTTCTAGTAAAACTTAATGAAATTACAAGAAACATTTCTGGATAGAGAGCTGTGCCTTAAAATGAGATCGTCAGGGAACCCAATGTCTAAAAGACAAAAGTCAATCTGGAGAAAATTAAAATTTTTAAATATAGGACAACTTGTTTGAGTATTGAGTACAATAATCTGTATCGAAACGTCGCACTCACAAAATAAAGAAGTTGTAATCCTAAAAAAATTGTTCTACATTGTAATATAGGACAACGAAAGAAAATGTACTTCTCCTTACGGGAAAAGTAAAGGTTTGGACTGAGAGAAAGAAGAAAATGGGAAAAGAAGAACAAATTCATCAAACAAATAAAAAGGTTAGAAACAATCTGTTTGAGAAGCATTTTTACAGGCAACTCAAAACAAAGGGTAATGGTGAACATGCTGACGGCCTCCGATGGATGCCAATGAGAGGTTCTGGAAACAGTTGTGGTCTGTCAAACCTGATCGTGTCCTCTTTGATAAAGCCAATTATAATTATATCATTGAATTTTCTGTCCCTTTTGACAGCAACGTGATTGACAAGATTCAGGAAAAGTATGCTAAATATGCGTACCTCGCCTTTGAAATGTCTTGCTTTCATCCCAACTATACTGTCGTCAGACTCCCTACTGTTCTCGGTGCCCTTGGTTTGGTACCTCCTGTTCTTTTGGGGGGTTGAGTCCCATCCGGGATTCGAACCCACACCCTCAGAGTCAGGCACCTAATCGCCAGCACACAAAGTCAGACGCCTAGTGTAATCCCAAATATAACATATGTTACATTTGACCAC